ACTCTCTCCGCAACTCCGCAAGCACGTGAACACTGAACAAGGCCCCCAGCACAAAGCAGCTTCTCATGTCTACTCAGCAGTGAATCGACAGTCGTGGCAATGATCCGTCATAGGCATGATTCGGATGAAACCGAAGCAGACCGGCTAGAGACCACTGGAGACATGCGAAGACACATGACCCTGACAAGCCACAGGCTCTTGCAAAATGGATGCACAAACCATCGAGACTACGCTACACCCTACCCACAGGCCCCAAAGTAGTTCCTTTTGGGGGTTGCCTTATTATAGAACCCTAAATATGAACACCAAAAAGGAACTACTATGGGGCCTATAGGTAAACCCTAAGCCGAGTCGGGGGGAGGGTGAGCCATCAGTCGCCTTCTCGCTGCAAGGCGAAAGCTAAGCGTACTTGCTGGTACTGTACACTGACAATAAGATTTCCGATAAAGACGACCAGGAAACTAACATTCGTCATTCTTTTATCCGACCCTAGATGACACGTCTTGAAGGCTGTTCGTCCGGAATGTTGACTTTCGTTGCTGAGCCCCGCTCTTCGGTAACCCTTGCAGCTAGCGATAGCGAATCTGCAGCTGCAATTCTCCTTCTCTCTCTCTCTCTCTATCTCTCTCCCTCGTTCGTTCTCGGTATTCGACTTTAGCTCGGAGACAACGGCCGATTCCCTGCATCCACAGCCCGATCCCAAATCGCATGAGTTGTCCAACTGTTGCTCGAGTCCAGTCACGGCAGCTTCCATGTTGCGGGGGCCACTTCCACAGACTGTACAAAACAAACGTGCAGGAACAGATGCCTGCTGGTGATCTAAGCAGAATCAGAATCGGCATCAAAGGATCAATCATGAACATCCAAGCTAACGCTAGCACAAATAGCCATCATTGAATCACGCCAATGCTTAAGATGACCGGGGTATTGCAACACGAACAGCTGGATGCAAAGCGAAGATTTTCTGAGTGGAGTACAGTTACACTTCGACACACTTCTCTATCAGCCCCAGATAAAGAGGCCGGCGCTCAAAACGCATATTATGATGACAATGACGGTGACAATGGATCATACTGAATCATACTGATATGAAGGCGAAATGACACATTATGATGATACTGATGGTGGTGATGACCAATGTTGACGGTGAAGCAGAAGAATATGATGATGGGTGATGGCGATGATTGTCGTGACAAGCAGCGCTCGTGGTGGGATGCACAAGGTGAAGATTGTGGACATGACATGCGATAGTACTGCAGATGAAATAGAAAGACTTCCATGACCTGCGTGATGGTGGAGGAGGTGAGGCTCACGAAGGTGTTGAATCTCATAATGTTCCGGCGACAACGATGGCCACGACGATGGTGACGAAATGTAACCTGCTACCTTTCACGTGCATCTGGTCGTGTGTTGTCCTGCTCTAGCTTTCGAAGCTCTGCACGGGTCATTGTATTTGATGTGTGTCTCGTCCACCAGCAGGCGGCGCTGTGTCTCACTCGCCGGCTCGATCCCAAACCTTGCTTGGCGAACATGGAAGACGCAGGGGCAGAGACAGAGAGAAGCAGAAAGATGGAGAGAGACAGGGAGAGAGATTGAGAGAGACAGAGGGAGAGGGCGGGAGAGAGAGGGAGGGAGGAGTGAGAGCGAGAGAGAGACAGAGCGAGAGAGAGAGAGAGAGAGAGAGAGAGAGAGGGAGAGAGGGAGAGAGAGAGAGAGAGAGACAGCAAAGAGAGTGTGACACAGAGAGACAGAGACCATCGAGCTACCGGTCGATATGCCTATATCTACTACTTATCTTGTGATGTGTCTACCTATGTAGCAATCTGTCCAATTGAACCCATCTGTACATGCACAGAGCCATAAATCTATACGTCGTTGTTTGTGTCTGTGTGTACGTTTGCGTATATGCTGACTGACAGCTGTATGCATTGAGTCGTAGATGAGGGATGGTGAGAGAAGCGTCGAGACGGCGACAGTGCGATAGTGCGCCAGAAAAAGAGAGAGAGAGATAGAGAGAGAGAGAGAGAGACAGAGAGAGAGAGACAGAGAGAGAGAGAGAGAGAAAGAAAGAAAGGGGGAAAGGGGGAGGGGAGAGGGGAGAAGGAAATGGAGATAGAGATTGAGAAGCAAAATTAATCGCAAAGAGACAGCGAGCGCGAAAACTAGTGTTCAGGTCCGTGCTGCAACTGAGGTGATTCGCAGTGCGACCAAACCATTCCCCCGTCTTGCTGTCTCGCGCTTGCTCGCAGCCATCCCCATCGCAAAACCAGAAGATCAGAAATGATTCATCCTCAAACTGCATGCAGTAAGTGCGCTGTAACCCCAAAACCTTGAATCTGAAACCCTACACCCCGCACCCCTTACATTTTCAGCTTCGTTGCTCCATCCCAGTCCTCGGGCGGAGGGGTCTCGGCATAGGACACACCTCGATGGCGGAAGCCATGAGGAGAGGGAACTAGATTTGTTTAATAAGCCCCTTCTACCGTTAAGGGTTTAGGGTTTCGATCTAATGATTAGATCTCGTTTTTGTGGCGTACTATGCTGTTACATACATAAAGGAATACAGGAGCAGGGTCTTACGACTTGGGTAAATTTGGGGGGGGCATATGATGCCCATACTTACTTGGGGAAAACGTCTGGATATCAGTCCTAGGAACATCAAACGAACGAAATGCACGCTTTAGACGTATAAGCGCTCAGTTAATCAGACCCATATCCAAGTGATTAAACCCTTGAAGTTGAACTTTTCAACAAACCCTAAGGTCACCAAGGTAAATTCTGCAAATGATTTCAACATTTTTACATGACGAGGGTTTTCTGTAGGGTATACGCGTTGAGAGCTTTGAGGGTTAAGGGTTTGGGACGAAATGCGTGGTAGGGTCCGAAGTGCGAGTCGTGGCCGTGGAGGCATTCGAAGATGTGCTTCTCAACACCAACAAATTGGCCACCCAGCAGATTCGTTTGAGATCTAGAGTAGAAAATAGACAACCGCACGCAACCTCGCGAAAAAGCGGCAAGATCTGCATCAACACAAGCAATCAGTGAATTCAGAAAGTCGCGCAAGCATTCCTTCATTTTGCTGACTATTCAAACTGCTGTGTTGTACAGTCAAAGTCAATCGAAACTTGCAGACAAAGAGGCAGCGCTGCAGCATCAGCGCAGAAGATACATCCTGCACGCACCAGTAGACTTTGGGCGCTGCACGCCAATATGAGGATGATACTTCAAGACCAATCGGCCTTCTTTCGAAACCCCTCTTGAACAGTGCCCAGAAAAGCGAATCTTCAGACAGCTTCAAGGCATTGACCAAACCCCCTTGTGAAAGCCAAACTGAAGGGACTCTGAAGTGTTTCAAGGTTTTTAGAGAGCCTACCTAACCCGACCCCATAATCCAAAATCCAAGTCCTGCACGCCCGTGAGTTTCTGCATGGCTTCGCCAGCAGCAGTGAAACCTTCCTTCGCCTTCATGCGCAGGTTCGAGGATTCTCTGGCTAGCTAGGAACGGCTGAAGGGTTGAGGCTTTCGGCCTTCAGCGCTTAAGGCTTAACAGTATTGCTGTGCTGGCTACTATTGTTATGATTGCTACTGTTGGTTGTGTTCTTGCTCTTGTGAGGTGAACGGCTTATTCCGCTTCTCCCATCAAATTTCAATCATCGCAGCCAGAACAGGCAAACCACCCTCAACCACAAAGGATGAAGCTGCAAGCTTGTAAAGACAAATCCTAAACCCTAGACCCTAAAACCCTAAAAGCCTAAACCCTATACCCTAAACCCTTTTTGCATCCATGCCTATTGCGACTGCCCTAACCCCTAAAAGCCTAAACCCTATACCCTATGCTTCTCTCCAGGCCACTTGCTCAAACCGGCCATGGCGGTAGTGCTCCACGGCCTGAACAGCAAAGCTCCGGAGGCCCCCGAACCCATTTTTGCAAAACCCGAAATGGGAGTTTCCGAAAAAAGGGGACCCTAACATAGTACCCTAAATAGTATCCATATCATAAGGACCCCAAGATAGGGTACCCCCACTTTTCGGAAACTCCCATATCTAGTGTGACACTAGACTGGTTGTAACTTTGGGGCTGGATACCCTAGCCCCCAAAAAAGTGAAGCTTTTCAATTCTGGTAGGCTCATACAAGCCCCAAAAGGTTAAAGGTTGCCTACTCAGCTCCTAAGCAACTTCTAAAGCCTCCAAAACCGGGCTTCAACCCAGCAACCTCGCACTACCAGGCTTTGCATAACCGCAATCAATTTCTAGCATGCTTACATGTTTTCCTGTTTGTTAAACCAAGTTCTTATCTTCCAAGCCCTTCTTCACTGATGAAGTTTCTAGGGTTACCTCGAACATTAGATGGGGTTGAGGGTGTAGGATTGGGCGAGGCTTCTTTTGCACAGGAGTTCGACTCTCTCTCACGCTCGCACGCAGCACGCACAGGATTTGGGATCCTGCAAGCCATGGTTTTAAGAACTCCGGTTGCAAATCTCTGAATGCGGGCCGCGCCACTCCATGCAGACTTGTGCAAAAGCATGGTCTTCACCACACTACGCTCGAGTGTAATGAGCATGGGCGGGCCCCTGCTGAATTAAAAGCACGGATCATGCAGGAAAGAGCTTTGTAACTTAGGCTCGCGCCGAAACCACACGCATCTAAGCTCAAGCTCCAAACACCTAGAATCCTAGAACATTATAGCCGGCACCGGGGACGCCTAGAGGTCTTCTATCCTTGCAGGCGAAACTCGAGTGACCAGCCCTGTACACTGCCTCATCGTGCTGGCTTGGGTCACCACGGCCCGTACAACATGATCCGGCTCAAAAGCTAAACCATGCACAGACCCAAGGACTCCAAAATCCCTGAACTACGGAATGTTGGTCGAACTATATCCAAGAGAACGGATGCTTACTCAAGGACCCTTCATGAAGGGACGTTGGAGCCTCTGGGGAAGTGTATCGGAATGGAACGTTGCGCTTAGGCCCCCTGTACTGGACTCAATCGGTCACGGAGATCACACCCCTCCTGCCACTGTCCGCTCCTGCCCCTTGCGTTCCCCACGAGGTTGCCACAAGATTTGAGCGACGAGGCCAAGGACGCCCAGGCCGATGACAATCAGCAGGTTGATGATGTGTCGACTAAGCACATGGGATTCCACCTGGAGGCGTCTTATACTTCAGGGGACTCGAACTACAGTACTTCAAAAGAAGGGGTCAAAACAGAACCTACGCCCTCGGCTCCATTTTTGGGGGGCCCGGTTGTCCCGCCTCCGCACACCGGAGCAAGCTCGAGGCGCAGCGCCAGGCGGCCCAAGCCCCGAAGAAGGCGGTAACGATCATGATTAAGTGCTTCACCTTAGAGGCTGAGTACCCTGGGACCCAAAAAAGGCCAAGGTTCGAATTATGGCTAGGATTTTATGTGCCCTAGCTAGCCTAGCGCCAAAAAGGGTTAACCTTCTTGAATTATGGTAGGATTGTATGAACCTCAACAGGTGAAAGGTTACCTCAGCTGCTAAGTCACCCAGGATCTGCAGAGGTATCCTGCCAGCAAGGCAAGTGGGACTCCGAGAGTGACGCCTCCGAATTGGTCCCAGCCCTTGTAGGCCTCACCAATAGCAGAATCCAGCGGCTTCTGCAGGGCATACACGATCAGGCATGTTGCAGCCAGGCCCAGAAATATGCCAAACACGATGCCCAGCATCTTTTCGATGCCCTCCCGGCACCTTCGCGCGAGCACTGCTGCTACCGTTCCCCAGAGCACGCAGCATACGAGCACGATCACCTTCTTGACCGTTGTGGCCTCTTCTGGCATTTCGTTGATCCAGTGCGATCCCACCAGTGCCTCTAAGCCGAACGCCACCAGGAAGGCGAAGAACGCAAAGGCAACTTTGTAAATCCGATATCCGAAGAAGGTCACCGCCAGGCCGAAGAGGCAGAGAATGGAGAGGAACACCGTCGCCGATGCATCACAAACCTCCTCTTCCAGCGGGAGAAAGATCTCGTGCACTGCCTCGTTGACGGCCATATTCAGCGGATGCGTTTGCAATGCAAAGGCTTCACTCGCACTACTTTCGACACTATGCTTGAACCGTGGCCACGGAAGCAGCAGTCTCCCGACAGCTCGCTTTCAGACTGCTCTTGTTGCATAGGACAAGAAACCATGGATGCTTCGGCTTCCTTCCAACCCGAGCGAGGAAGAACAGGATTCCACTCATTCTGCCAACTTCTTAGTTGAAAACGACTTTGAAGCCAAGCTCCTGCAACCGAAGATGCGACAACCTGGGCCCTTGTGAGGCTTACCCATGCAGGAGGAATCAATTATCAGTGCTTCTGACAGCTTCGGCGGTCCTTATGGTTCGGGTTTAGGGTGTAGCGCGTGTAGACCGTATAGGGTTAAGATTTAGGAATGAAAATGTTATGGATTGCTTGAAGAACCCTAAACCTCGAACCCCAAACCGCACCTCTGTGTAGAGGTCAGCCGCTTTTTCCTCGAGCGTGGCCTTGCGGGCTGGGGTCTCGGAGCTATGACTAAGTGAGTGGCCGGTAAAGGGTTTGGCGCTTACAGGAAAGTGCAATGCGAGCAGGAGGCCATGTCAAGGGAGGCAACAATAGGCCTTAATAATCATAGAATAGGATTGGGGGCCCTTTATACTATATAGTTTATAATAATGAGCCACCGAAATAGTATTCGCAATTGTCCAGGCCCCTTACAGTAGAAACCATAAAGTTGGAATATCATTATCATAGTCCCTTTAAGGTAAGTATAGGGGATCTTGCCATTATTCCATATTCCAACTTTCTGGAGTTCCCTTTATTGGTAGGCAAGCGGTTCTCATCTTTTTCGGATTCCGGCTCTCTGGAGTCCCTCGAGAGATCTGCGAGCCGTGAGTACCGCTAAGCTTCGGAGTCTTGGTGGGGCTACGTATGTACATATAGGCACATAGGGAGGGAGAGAGGGACAATGTGTGTATATTATACATATATATATATATATATCTGTGTATACATATATATATATATGTACATATATATATGTACACATGTATATATATATATGTATATATATATAGAGCCCAAGTGACCCAGCAGCGGGTATCTTGAAGGCCCCAGTACCGCACGCAATGGCCGCATAGCGGAAGGCGGTACGCCAGTTTGCAGCTGCCTGGGCAGCTGCAGGGGGGCAACAGCCAGACCTACAATTGGGATTCCATGTTGGTGGGCAACTACACCAACACCCTTCTGCACACCGGCTTCGAGTTCCCGACTTGCAGCCGCCACGGCTCCAGCAAGAATCTGTTCGCATGTGTGGATGACGAACATGTGACGCTCAGAGTGGCAGTGTTCGATCACCACGGGCACTTGAAGGACACCATTCTCACAGGATATGAACACTTGGTCGTGGTCCGGCTCTTCTTGACCCCGGAAGAGCTGCAGCTGCTGATGGATAGCGTCCCGAAGTGGGATATGGCCGGTGCCATTCCGTGCACCACAAAATCGAACATGAGCGAGATCGACCTCCTCTTGGTTTGCAATAAGGACCTGGAAACCGACGCCAAAGCCAAAAGCATGGTGGGTGCCATTAAGGATGCTTTCCGAAATGGTGCTCTCGGCTGGATGAGCTGCTTAGCCAACATCAAGAACATGTTGGCCAAGCTGTACCCGGAGCAAAACGTCTACGCCAACCGTGGCTATACCACGAACATGTACTGGATCTTCGGCCCCAATGCCGTCTTCTCGAGAATCATGATGGCTATGATGGAGCACGAGTTCAATGAGACATACGACATCTTTTTTCCTGACGGAGATGGATGCCGTCCCCACTAAGGACCACTGGCTCGACTACTTCGAGATGGAGGCCCAGGAGATGGCCGATAATGCCATGGCCATCCGCGGGAGCCAGTACTTGGGCGACAGTTGGGACCTGCCCAAAGCAACGATGCCGACTTACTTGGCGGAGCACATCAATGGCAATGCCTTGTATAACCTCAAGCACCTTGGACCGAGGCGGTGTGCGATGCATTCCACAGCATGGATGGCGGCAGCATGATGGAAGGGATGGCCTGCGATGAGCCATTCGCCATGACTATCATTAATGCGATGTCAAGGAACACTAGCAGATGAGCCGTTTCAGGTTTAGTCTGCCTCTTTCAGTGGTTCGGCACGTGTGTATGTGTAAACGCTGTCACTGCGCATGGATGCGTGTTTGAACGGGCGCGGCGGTTTTTTGAATTCTGCTGTGTGGGGCGTAGCTTGAAGTTGGCCTCTCCCGTCCCCTGGAGGAATATGCCCAGGCTAGATATAATATAGTTTCGTAGGTGTCAGCTGTGACTGCATGTCTGAGTGGAGTCTGCTAGAATCTAGAAGCAACACTCAGGAGCCTTGAAGTGTTGGTGCGCTTGCAAACTGCAAACGTCCTTCGCCACGGCACTTATGTTTGCCACACCGCGCTAAATAGCCCAGTTTCGTAGCTTGCTTGTTGCCTGCGGGATTGCACTTCGGTTTGTGTGTTCCCCTTTTCCCGTCGTTTACGAAGCAGCGCGGAGTCACAGTGACCACGCTGAGAGAAGTAGTAAGTTTGGTTTTGTGGCAGGATGTGACGTAACCGCTTACGGTTTTTTACGTTGCTGCTGTGCAGCTGGCCGGGTCTACAGCGGTCCGCCTTCCCTGCCTAAACCCTGATGTGCCAGATTTCTGCTCGGCTTGTGTCAAACGTCAGCTAGTGCATACTGGCAGTCAGTGGTTTCGTTTGCAAGTTAATTAGGCAGCGAACTCCTCTGAATGCTTGGAAATGGAAATATATATATATATATATATATATGTATAATGACTATACAGTTACACACAAAAATACATATCCCCGAAACGTTAAGGGTTGCCTATCAAGCTCAAGGACTACAAAGAGGCGTCCAAGGATTCCGAGCCAAGATGGTCGCTAGAAGGATCTGAGAGAGCCTTTTCAAGGTACTTTGAAGGATCCCACAGGCTACCTTCCTGTCCTAACGCATGGACTGCCAGGGTAATATAGGGGCCTTAATGCTGCTTAAATAATTAGAATAGAATTAGAATAGTATAGGGCTTTCGGGGCTCATTAGTCTGTAATTATAATACGGAACCCTGTAAAATAGTCCCATGTTATGGGGGCTCGTTGCTCGGGATCCTCGGACGGCTAGCTAGAAGCACTCTTCAAACGCTGTGGTTTAGAGCTTGGTGTTTTCATAGTTCCTGAGCCCCAGTCGCGTCCTGCACGGTTTCAAGGGAAGGGAATAGGAGAGTCTGGGATAGGGCCTAAACCAATCGGACTCGTGCACTAACACCTGGTCTATGTCGGGGTCTCCCTAGGCCCTAAACCCATTCAACACCCCTAGTCCCAAAATAGGGGACCTTAATTTTCGTACCCTAAATAGTGGGATCCTTTTTATAAGGACGCCAAAATCAGGTACCTCTAGTTTTCGGAAACTCCCGTATGAAACGGCCTTGGAGGGACGACGGTTGGCTTTCCAGACTTCGAAAATCCTTGGCCATGCCGACAGCTTCAGAAAAGGCGGCGGGTTTACCGACTGTCGATCTGTGAAGCAGCTTAGGTGGTCTTCGATCTAGCTGTTAGGCTTGGAGTACGACGCAAGCTTGCCAAACGCATCCACTCAGTGCATGTCTTTGCAACTGTCTTTCTCCAAAGCCGAACAAGGTTGGAAAGACAAACTGTCCAGATCTATTTCTGCATGGGGTCAGGTCTTGATTCCCCTTGCAGGCCGAAGTGAGTGGGCCTAAGTGAATGATCCGATGTCAAAGAGATACTCCGGGAACCCGAAGCATGAGAACCCCCCCCCTTTTCACAAAGCTTCTGCTCGCTCTCTTCCGCATCCGCAGACCGCCGGATAAAGTCCTCGGATTTGAGAAGCTTGTCGCCACTGACTCCGCCGGTGTGGCTTCCAAGACACCGGCTTAGGGGCTCAGGTGTCCAAGATGTGCGGAACGTGAGGTTTCTAGGCTTCGCTGTCAGTCGATCTGCCCGAAACAACTAACAGTAACAAAGACTATCGCTCCGGAAATGCAATCTCCACCCATGGTTCCAAATTCTCAAATGCAGGCTTGGCATCTATGGGGCGTGACACAAAGCCTTCGATGTCCAAGTCCGTGTGTGTCGTCTCAGAGACCAGCAACCTCAGTTTCATGCCGGTCTCACCTTCTTGAGCTCTCTAGAAACAGGTTTACTCTCAACAGCCTACATCTAGGCCTGTGGCCCAAGAGCAAACCCCTAGCGTCTGCCACTTGTCATGTGACCACATTCGCACGAAGTGGCTGCGTGCCATAAGTCTTGTTGAGCTCTTCCAGCCGTCCCGGCATGCTGCACTCATCACCCACCTCAGACGATGCTGCAAACGGCGAATACTCACAACGTTGTAAGACTGCGCCTGAAGATTTGGAAAGCGACACGCATGTGCCAACAGCATTGTACTGAGGTACATACAAGGTATGTTTCATACAATTGCTGCAATGGGTCTTTGCTTCTTTCCGCACGAGATGTGTGTACACAAATACACATGTGCCTAAATAAACACAGGTCTCATGTTCGTCGCTTGCAAGACATGGGACTCAGCTGGGCTCAGGTTTGTCTCGTCTAAGGGACCTTTCCGTCTGTCAGATCCAGACTCTGACGTTTACGTTGAGAAAGTTTACTTACCGGTTATGAGGGCCAACAGCTTTTATCTTTACCACACCTCGCAAATGGCTGGAACCGGGCAAACCGCGGGAATTTCACCAACATCCCTGCATCTGCTCTTTGTAAAGCTATGAGAGCCCCTACGCCCAGGTCAACCCGAGACGCGCCGAGACTCGCAGAAAGAGTTCGCTAGTCATGCTTGACTGATTTACGGGGGGCGGATTTCCTTCTTAGGGCAAAGCACTTTGTATGAGGCGAAGCAGCCTGAAGGATTCGAGACCAGCCATCTAAGGTTAAGGTTTTTTTTTGTTTTAACCCTCTTTTCGTTTAATGTTTAGGGTTCAGGGTTCAGGGTTCAGGGGCTAGGATAGGTCTTGGAGACGCAAGACGAAAGTACAAGGGAACAAGCTAAGGGTTTTCTGAAAGCCCTACATACCACTTTGCGGCAGCTCTTTATGTGAACTAGGTATTCCAAAAGCCAGCCGAGTAGCAATGCCGTACTTGATCCGCGACTGCATGCCTGAGCTGCCGACAGGTCGATAATTCAGCATCGTGAATACTGGGGCGAGTTGGTGGTTCATGCTCTGACAGCTGTGTCATGATGGTGCTGCTGACGACGATGATGCTGGGAAGCATGGCGGATCAAAACTTGCGATCGTCGCAGTAGTGGTAGCGACTGCGAGTGCAGGTGGTGATGTTTTGCACTGCAGTTGTCGGGCGAGGTTGAGCGCTAGATGTTCCTAGGTAAAAACCTCGAGTTGAGCTGTTGCAGGAGCTCCCATTTCTACGACTGGCTTGCCCGAAGCGCACAACAGCAATGCGCCCCGAAAGAGCTGAAGTCATCGACAGGATCACTTTAACGTCTGTTCGCCTCGGCCTGCCACACCCTGACTCCGCAAAGAGGAAGGGTGTTCGGAGTGGTTCCCATGCAGTCGATGTTTGCCAAGTACAAGCAGACATCTCCCCAACACCCTGGATTTCATATAGAAGTCTGATCAAGTGCCAATAATGGTCCTCAGGGTTCTTTCGTATTAGTATAGCATATTGAAACCCTGTTCCAAATACAAGAAGCCCCATCTTACCTCGAGTTCGCGTCTAGGTGCCCATGTTGCCAACGAGCACTTTGCCAGTGTGAACTCCACACCGGATGGAGATCCTCCCACTGCACCACATGAGGCGAAGCACATCAGTCGACTCTCATGCTCAGCCGGCCCCCCCAACCCTCAACCGAAAAATCTCCACACCCCCTGCTCCACCGGGCTCCTGGGTAGCTCCCGTCGATCCAGCCATGCGTTGATGCTGCCTATGGCCTGGTCTCCGGAACACTTTGGGGTTTTCAGAGCGGAAATTCTTCGGCGCCTTACTATTGTTGAGATTACATGTGATGGCAGTTGTTACTATTGGTAGTAATGCTGCCGCTTTTGCTAACATTGTCGGGGGAAGCCTCCTTTAGGGTTTCGGGCTGCTTGAGACTTAACATCCGAGCGGTTTCTTGACACAGACGAATCGTGCATCTGGTTTGATGCTTGATGTGGCCATGGACAAGCTCCGACCGAGATTTGCTTCAACGACATTCTGTCAGAATTGTAGACCCCGGTTAATTCTACGGGCCAGGCTTGACACTGGATTTTGGCGCGCAAATCTCTCTCTATCAGGCTCTTAAGCTCCTCTGATACCAACTCTTGGCATGGCAGGAACCCCTTTTCAGCTCTTAGCATGACCTCAGAGTCTTGAGCATGCTGGTCACCACAATCGCCGAATGATGTCATGTGGCGAGTTCTATCGTATATAGTGTGATTTTTGACACCAAGCCATTCAAACGCCCGCAGCAAACCCTCTGAGGACCCCGGCGTGCAACATCTCCACCTCAGCAGATTGGCCGTCTAAACCAAGTCTGCCCACCGAGCCAGCAAAAGATTCAGAAAACGCGGACGCTTAAAGAACAGCCCATTCACACACCACGCATTCTCTTTAGCTAAGGCATCGACCGCAGCTTTCACTGCGACGGTGGCATGGCTGTCGTTGACAACGGGTGCTCCGTAGATGCAAAGTATCGCATCGCCTGGGCACTTCTCATCCCAAACACACACTAAATTGAGTTTCATTAGGCTTAGCAAGATAGACCTTGCCTGAGCCCTACAAACCTGTAAGCCTATCATCCTACAGGTGGAGGGCTTTGGAGCTTCCCGAGCTTTCTGAGATGTGTACAGAAGTCAGGGACCTGTCTAGGGTGTCACTGGCAGTGGGGCTCTTCTCCCAAACTCCGGAGGTTTAGGGGCTTGGGCTCAATTACCCCAAGGGTCCAAGTACCTAATAATCATATACTCTCCAAATGCCTAACCTACATAGCTACTATCCTAAAACCGAGTACCTAATTATTGGGTCCTTTGGACCCTTGGGGTTAGGTTTTATTGAAGGTTTCGGCGCTCACACTCGGACAATCCAGGCGAGGCATGTGGTTCGAGGTCTGATGAGTGAAGCGATCTAGTGGGAATGATTCGAGACACAGTTTTTTATGGTTTTGTTTTTGTTTCGGGATGTGGGGCTCTAGGGGTCAAAAAGGATTAGGGTTAACACCGGTGCAGGGTTACGGTGGGTTCAGGGTTCAGAGGGCTTTGTGATGAGCATCAACCTTTGTGGGTTCAGACAATGACAACGAGTGCAGCGGACGGGCGCTATGGGGCTGAAGGATGAAACGGCTTGGACTTGCCAGACTGCAAAACCTGGTTTTGGTTGACGAGCTGCCGATGAATTCCACAACGATGCCTCCATTGGCGTCCACGATCTTGGACATTTCCTGCTTTGAAGAGGCAAAACGGAGACAATGAAGCTGGCTCTCAGGAGTCCATCATGTCAGCTATGACAAATATAGCGGCCATGAGCGAATACTATGACTAAGTACGCCGACCCCGTATAGATTTTCCGAATTAAAGCCACCGTAGCCTGCAGACTCGACCGAAAAATCCGAGATCTTCAAGTAAAGCCACTCTCAGCACGAGCCCTACCCACACACGAACTAGTAAGTTCCCCTTTTGGGACTACCTTATGGGATTCTAAACATGAACCCCAAAAAGGAACTACTGTATGGAGCCTCCGGTATACAAACCCAAGACCCTGAGAGCTCCTGAAAGTATCGGCTCAGCAAGAGCAGCGAGCTCTTGGGCGGCAGGCTTTCGACGATGGTGGTGAAACTGGCGATGTCTGAGAAGAACATGGTCACCTTCGGGTGCGCCGGGAGGGTTTTGGGGCTGTGGCTTGGGCTGTGGGGCCTGCTGAGGTGCTCGATTTTGGTGATTTCCTGTCGCAAGCTTTAAGGTAATTATTGGACTTGGTATGTGTCAGCGTTCAGCGACTTTCAGGTTCCTGGTGATTGTGGGCTGTGATCCCTGTAGGACAGCACCAATCAGCGGCAAAAAACAACACACCCTCTCACACCACCACGACCCCACGCCACCATCACTGTCATCCCCACACCCATCATACACCACGGCCTCAAGTTTGTAGCGACACCACATTGATAATGACGGTGGTGATGTGATAATGATGATATGATTATGATGATGATGACGACGCAGATGATAATGATGACGCTGGTGCTGGAGGTGGAGGTGGAAATGCGACCACTGCCCTGACGAGTCTTTCGGATTACTTGTCCATGGGTTCCCAACCCGAGTCAAAGCTCTGCCTCAGGTGTCTGGAGTGGCAGCTGGAGCTCTATGGACTTGTTTTGCTGCTTTAGTTGTGCTCGTGGTTAAAGCTTATAGGTGGCACGGCCCAAAGAATGTATTAACGTTGGGTTTCAGGAGGGCTTCCACTGAAAAACCTTCTTGCAAAGCGTTACTCTAGGCGGTTTTAAAAGGGGCATCCCGTACCTATCATAGCATTTTGAACACATATACATACATATATACATATATATATATATATAGATATATAGATATATAGATATATATATATACATCATAAGCAACCCGAGGGAGAATTCTGCTACTTCGCGATCATGCAGGCCCAGGGCCCCCCTTTCTGAAGAGGCGAGCGCCTTACGCTCGGAGACTTCGATGTTAGCTTCTGCATCTTTTCGCATCATCAGCTGCACCACAGGCCTCGGGCGCTCGTAAGGCTCAGGGGGCTGCGAAGGCTAGGGGGTAGGAGATTTGGGGCTTTAGGTTCAGGTCCTGCAGCCTTAATAGGGCTCGGAAGTCTAAGAGGCATGGAGTCATGCAGCATCTGCCTTACATCCTTGCCAGGCCAGGGGTGTCTCCGTTCGACTCGACTACTTCACCGCAAACATCAGCTCATACATATATATATATATATATCGAGAGAGAGAGAGAAAGAGAGAGAGAAAGAGAGAGAGAGAGAGAGAGAGGAGAGAGAGCGAGAGAGAGAGAGAGAGAGAGAGAAATATGCTGTTGTATCATTTGTCTGGGTTTTCATCCCAGAGCACGAGGTAAGGACCTCAAGAGATGTGGGGTGCCATCCAAGGGGCCAGGGAACGTACTTTCCCCAGGAGCGGATGGCCGTCTTCATGCTGTCGAACCGTCGGCGGAGCAACCTGACAGTCGAGGACTTGGCTTGATGTGGCTCAGAGACTCAACGAGGGTGTACAGGGGTTAGGTTAGCATTTATGGCTTGGAGTGACGAAGACCAGGGCCATTCCTGCTGATGACTGATGATGGTGGTGAGGCTGGGGAGGATATGGCGGCAGTGATGATTCAATTATTCACGGATAGTGGAATCCATAAGCCTCAAGCAGCCACCTGCTGGAAGAAGTCCGCACACCTTCCTTTAGCGGCCCGAAGCTCGGCTAGTGAACGAAGCACGTGTGTCCGCGAAACAAAGCCATCCCACGGCCTGATCTCGCTGGAGACGTTCTGGGCCTCCTGCAGAAGTGAGCCACAAGGTCGCAACATCATTCAGAAGCTCATGTACCTCGCTACAATGACCTTGCCAAACGATCATCCCTGGGTTGCTCTGTCCTGTAATAAACAGTGAGGGGTTGGAAAACTATTGAACTAGACATGTCAGCAACAGCCAACCGCCGACGGCATAGTCACATGAGAAGCTTTCTGACCATTTGCACCTACAAAAATAAATTGCCCCTTCTCTGAACCCTTGCTTGCACACACTACCTTGACGGTTTGCTTTGTCAAAGGCAACCTTACTGCACCACGACTCCTTATATCAATACACATGCACCAATGTCGCAATGGGGGCAAAATCAAGAACACGACCCCCGATCTCCTCCAGGCTATGCGTAGTGGCTGAATTGGTCGCAGCAAGTTGCAGGCGAGTGATGCTTTCCTGGGAGTACGCTTAAAGTGGCTCTAACGAGATCGACTGGATACCCCGCATTCACAGCTTCAGGTGCCCTGAGGAAGTATGCATATATATATATATAGATAGATAGATACCTATACACAGACCTATGTATTTATCCATCTATATCTATCTACATATATATATATATATATATATTATATTACTATCTATATCTATCCATCTATCTGTCTCTCTCTCGCTCTCTGCCGTTGCATCCAGACGGTCTAGCAGCACCGGGCAGCGGAGACTAGTTTCACTTGAAACACTGTATCACACTGTATCCAACCCGATGGGCTTGCTGAGATACCCAGCCGTCAACCTTTTACCCATCGTGGATCTGTTCAAGCCCAGTATGAAACATGCAGACAAGTTTGAGAACCATTGTGAAGCTTAGCTGTGAGTGTCGGAGTGTCCGCCGGATAGCCCCCCCAGGCTCTGAAGCGTTTCAAACTAAGACCCAGGCCCCGAAATCCTCAAATCCCTACATTCAAACTCCCTGAAATGCGACAGGTTGGCCCTCCACAGGCTAACTTGGAAGCAGGTGACCACTTCATCGGCCAGCTCCACAAGTGGCTTTAAGAGATTCTTGGACAAGTACCTTTGCTGACGAAGGCAAGGGCTTATCTTTAAGCAATCTGCTTGAACACGACTTTTTTTTTTGGTTGCGCGTTGGGGTCTCACAGGGGAAATCAGACCTCTTGTCCGACGCCTCTCGAATTTGATAAACCCAACCCTGCCTGCAGCCTCAAATGTCACGAAAATGTCGGTTCTGATGCCAGACGTATAATTAGGGGCCTTAATAATTAGAATAAGGTTTTGGGGCAAATCATACCATGAGCATAATAAGGAAACCCTCAATTAGTATTGGCAAGTATTTTAAGCCCTTATGATATTGGTGTGTGCCCTCAGCACAGCTGGCTGGGGATCCACAGACCCTGCAGATCGGATCCTCGGACCAGCAATCGCAGAAAGCATGTGAGCCGGCGGGGGGCTCAGTGGATTACCCTCAAAGGGGGTACCGGGATTTAGGGTTTAGGATTTGGGGATTATAAGCTTGAAGGTTTAGGTCCTAACACGTTAGGGAACCTCAAAATGTAGGAATTCTGAGACCCCAAAGAGATCCATGGGCTCTCCTTGGGAGATTCCGGACCCTCCGAAGGAGATAGATGGACCCTGAGGGTACGCATTCATAACTTCGACCATCCTAACACTTACTAAGCACGTGCTATACGAACCTAAGTACCATTAGAGTTCCACGTTAAAAACTCAGGATTATGCCTGAGAGAAGCACCATGGATGAGTGAATGTAAATATCGTCACATGGAAGCTGACCCGAGCATCTCAGAGCATGGTCTAGAGTGTGCGGAGTTTAGGGGTGTAGACGACTTCGGAACTAGTCTAGGGCGTTTTGGGATTTAGGGGGTTTCGGCGCATTTAGGGGGTTTAGGGTTAAGGGGTTTGGGGTTGGGGTTTAAGTTTCATGCGTGAAAGAGCACAGGCACATGGATATCATGGATCTGATGACTTCCCTCTTCGAGCTATGCATGATGAGAGCTGGATACTTGCTAGTTCAGTTATAACTTGAAATCTTGGGTGCGTAAGATCCCGCGTGAGAAGGCTGATGCCGATGACGATGAGGAAAAGGACCACCCCTGGCAAGGCTCAAGCTTAAGCAGGAAGCATCAAGGGGGACGTGGGTTCGTGGTCAGGACCCGGAATCTGGACGGGTTTCGGCACATCTGTGGGGGACCATAATCACGTCAACATAAATTCGAAGATTTCCAAGCCATGGCCACAACAGCTTTCTGAGGCTCTGACATGTTGTGATAATGGAATCGCGAGCGGTGGCGACGGTATCCGCTCGATTCCTTGGAAGTCGGCCCCACTTTAGGGATTCTTGGATATGAGAAGGGTTGCTCCTGGCTTCTTATATTTGACACGGATCGGCCCGCTACTTTGCCTCCTTGCCCCCTCATGTGTACCCATAGGCTCCATGGTAGTTCTTTTTTGGGATGGCCTTAAAGGATTCTACATATGAACCCCGAAAAGGAACTACTATGGAGCTTCTGGGTAAACATGTTTGCCAAGCTTAGATCGCTTCTGATCTCTTAGCGGATAAAAACGTGAAACCGGCTCGCCGACACGTCTCAGCTTCACGGCCTAATGCCGTGATGCCATGCACTTCATGCAGCGTGGAAAATACTATGAAGTTCCATGTTGAGAGGCTCCGGCCAAACGGAAACACTCACAACCAGTTTGCTGCATGCTCAGCTTTCTCAGCCCAGGTCCCTAAACCCGAAACATCCCTTTTCAGCACGGGCTGAGGTGCCGGCCAGCACCCTAAACATCCCTAAACCGTAAACATCCCTGAGCCCATATAAGATCCATATAAGCATCTGTAAACCTTAGGCTTTAAAATTTCTCCGCCTGGGTTCAAAAAGAGTGCTACGGCTTCCGTCCTCTCCTCGAGGTCTTCGGCGGTGATGTCCTTGCCGTCAAGACGGAGGTGGGGGTGCAGGAGTTCGGTGCTCACACTCGGACAATCCAGGCGAGGCATATGGTTCGAGGTCTGCTGAGTGAGACTGCAACTAATTGGGAATGAGCAGAGTTTAAGGGTTTCTAGGGCTTAAGGGGATCGGATGAGTGAGTCCGGCAAGCTTTTTAGTAAAGGCTAGTCCGAGCTCCTGGTTGTCAAAGTCTGGATATCGCATCAAGAGCCTTGGTTGTCGGCTTGAACCAAGGAGACGGAGTGATAGCGACGTGATGGATCACTGAGAGTCTCAGTAGCTGCGAGATGCAATGCAGGTGGCGACATCGCGCTTGCAGAGTGGCCATCTAACCCAAACCACATCGCCAAGAAGCAGATCCATCTGTCGGTATTTGGAGGATATGACATCGACGTCCACCTCATCAAGCCTCTTCGTCCTTAGTCGTGTAAGAGTGCAAACGGCAAGACCCGTCGACATGAACATCTACAAGCAGAAGGAAAGAGCAAACATGTCGAGCAACGGTTGGGGATCAAGCGTAAGATGCGTGCGTATCTTGTGTACACGGCTGCATGCCCCTTAACCAAAATTCTATGAGCCAAGTCATGATGATCAAGGGCCAAGTCTCTGTCCCCACACGAGGGCTTCGCTCAACGGCGCATCACAGCGCCGTTCGTTTGAACCCACCAGGGAGTTGCAGTAGACTTTCCTGATCGCGCAAACAGACTGAAACAATGCTGTGTAAAACTCTGCTTTGAATACGTAGAAAATACCGTACTTAATTTCCTGCGGCAAAGGCACACGGCTTTTTCCACGTACAAGCAGCCCTGAAAGAACTATGAGCCCCAAAATCTGAAAGCCTCAAACTATAGCAAGGTGTGGCAACCCATATAGAGACCGCATACGTGATTAGTTCATACTTGTGCGGTTTAAGCCCTCAACGGCATCTTGTGGCAAACTCTCACAGCTATGAAATCATCGTTGAATGAAACTGAAACGCCCAAGCATCCTCTGTAGATCCAAGTACAGAAGAGGCCGCTCTGGACGCGCCCACCCTTCATGAAGCGTCCAGGTGGCCACTTGCCTGCGGGGTCTCTTAGGGCTTCTGGAGGGTTTTTGGCAGCAGGAGTTGCGGATTTTTGAATGGGTTCAGAGCACTACTGTGCAACTCGGGTCATACGTTTCCAGCAGAGCAGGAACCGCATGTGACGCTGCGGAAGGGCAATCTCCTGAGAGACATACTTAGCTCCAGCTGGTTAGCTTGGTGGCTACAGTAGCCAGCTACCTCAGTTGAGTTCGATTTACCTTCGTACTTTGTTTCCTTGTCTGTGTATCAGGTACAGTATGTCAGTCAGTCAGTGAAGTCAGTCACTGAGTGTCAAGTTTTGTTGAGCCCAGCTCAGTTTAGTCATCTGAGCTGTACTTCCGAATCCGATGCTTCTACCAGCACCAATAGCCAGTGCAGCATGCCTGCGAATAACGTCCGGGATGGTCGTGTTTGCGACAGGGCTGCCTGAGTCTTCACAGGTTCCGATTCTTGTGGCTTACTTAGGGCTTGTAGGGTTTACGGGCTGTTGTGGCTCAAAGGTCCCACACCGTTGTTGGATTGCAGCTGCATACCCGAGGGCGGTGCGAGATGCATGTCATGCGCGGTCCCCTGTGCGACCCATTCAGGAAATCACGTCGAATGCATCGGTGGCAAAGCACCCGGTCGGCGTGACAGGCCCACGACGAATACAAAGCAGGACTTTGCTATCTTGAGCTGTAGGGGCCTTACCATGTAGAGTAGGGTGTTGGGGTATATCATCGAATATCTCTTTCAAGGAGCCCTCACCAATAGTATAGGTAATTCTGTGCGCCCCCATGTTATCCTTTACGAGCTTCTGGGATGAGTGGAGGGATGGCTGCTTTGAAAGCCCTCAGAAGCCCAAATGTGCGGCTCAAACTCTCTTTGAGTGATAGCAGTAAGACTGGCAAGGACAGCGATACGAATGATGATAATGATGATGCTACATAGTAGTATTAACTATATTGACAACGACGACAACACAAACAGTTTCAACCAAGACTGAGAGGGATTATATACAGGCTTTATGGGACCCGATACTGAAACCTTCTCAGCTCATTTCGAGAGGCCGGTAGTGAGGCCCACGAAGGAGTTCATCGAAACGAAGCCATAGTTGAGGGAGGTGTCCTGCGGCCCGAAGCAATCCCCTTGCCTCCTACTTCGCATGGACAAAGGCCGCATGACAGCATTAACAACTTCGTGCTGTTTTGTGTGTCCGGGGCAACCATGAACTCAGTAAGACTCCAAGAAACCACAGCATCCAACACGTGCTGGAATCAGGGCTTGTTGGTCAAGGCTTGTTCCAGGCGTTTGGTTTAGGTCCCGTTTGGCTTGAGAGGTCTCAGGCTTCGGTACTATCCAAAACGCTTTTTTCAAATGCTGCAGCAGCAGAGATCCCCAACCCGGAAGTACGACAATCCGAAACCCACAAAGCTGTCGCTGCTGATCCCGAGAGAGGTTTTAGATTCATTTGGATCTAAGAACTGTTCTCCCATTGCGGGTGCATCTGCCCTGTGATCTCAGCATCACGGCTTTGGCAACTTTCTACTGGCACCAGACCCCATACCTTCAGCGGGGAAATCGCACCGACATTGACGGACGTCCACTCTAGACATTGAACCCAGGGCCCTCAAGCTCAATGCTCCGAGGCTGAAGCTTTGGGGGGGGGGGGGGGCGAGTGCCTTCGAACTTCACAATGCCTGGGAGTTCTTCCACATTAGTTGCTGAGGGTGTAGGGCCAAGATCTTCTTTGTGGGTTTGGTCGTGGCCAGTCTCTTTTGTTTTTCGGGCCCCTAGAAGACCCCTAGATTACACCGAGGCCACCAGTTTGGGCACTCAGCATGTTGGCAGTTGGCATTTGAAGCTACCCAGAACTACCCTCAGGGAGAATGAGGCAGCCTGCTTTTTTGCCGCGCAGTCGTCAACGATATTTGCAGTACATTCGCGAAGGACTTTGGGCCAGGGACCCTTGTGTGAATCGCAATCATGCCATTGCCGTCGCCACCGCTGGTTCTCCTCCTCACCCAAGCGCTGCTTGCGCGGACTGTCCCGCTCCCGTCTGACGATGCCAGAAACTACGTGCCGGGCCCGGCACCAACGCAAGAACCCTCTCCAGGCATCTTCATCCTGCAACTGCGGAGGATCCCTTCCGCATACGCAAATCCAGGTCAGCATGTCTTGCCGTGAGGAGCCATGAAGCACAGTGTGCGCCAGGCACCATGGCATGTCGCCCAGACCCAGACGTTGAGCCCACATGGGGTTCAGGTGGCATTGAACAAAGAAGTTTCTCAAAGGCTCCTCGCCGCCCCGCTCAACCAACACCAACGTGCGCCGGGCACACTCCTGCAAGTCGGGCAGGCATTCGAAATCCAAAAGTACATTCCGATTCTTCTCTGGGTCCATGATGCACAGGTCACACGCCCGCTTCTTCAGGATTTCCACGCGTGGATTGCCTCTGCGCACTCTCACCACACAACGCTCCGTCGGCTGGAGAGTAGCCAGGAAAGTCCATACGTGGAGCACGATGTCAGCAATGCTGGGGAAATGCCTCTCTTCGCAAAAAGCTTCGACGAGGAGGGCCAGTGCAAACCCAGGCACTCGCCGCTCTTTTCGGTCAAGCTCAGGCTCATGTACGCACGAGGGCATGGATTCCCTACACAATGAGCTCCGTTGCAGAAAGTTGTGGTCTAATTGTAGCAAGGCATGTTCTAAAGGCACAGGTTGGCCATCAATCGGCCAACGCCAGCCTGCGGTCCTGATGCAAAGCAGCCAATACTTCAAGACTCGAATTGCACCTTGAGCGACAGGATCCGTTATCCTTGCTTCGGCTGAAAGGGCAACAGACAAACGTTGGTGGGTCGTTAGGTAGCCATCCCTACTTTCTACTTGCGTGATACCCATGCCAAACTGAGGCTTTGATCCAAGGTAAGTTTCCCTTTTCGTATACTGTGGCTCGAAGAAACCGTCGATTCCAGTGACATGTCTTTCGAGTGGCTGACCGATGACAATGTCTGCATTTAAGTGCTTCCATCGCGCACGTAACCCCCAATGAAACTTGCAAGTCTTGACAGCCCCGGTATGGCCACTATAGGACAGCCGGAATCCATTCTGCTTCAAATCATCACGCGCCTCATCAAAAGCCGCCTCCAGTGCATCTTTCAACTCTGTGGCATCAGCTTGCTCGCGCGATGCTTCCCACATAGCACATATATCAAGATCGTAGAGCGGAAAGATGGCAGTCCGCGATGCAACAGAACCTGCAAGTCTGAAGCCGTGAAATCGCAAAGACCTGCCCGGAACACTGGGGTGAACTTTCTCATTCAGGACTTCAACGAGGTCCTCAATCTCCTGAAGCTCGCTCGCTTGCAAGGATAGGTTCTCAGCGACTTTTGCAAAGTGCTCTTGCAATCCACTTGGCAACACAGACTCGCGAGGAACGTGACGCAACTCACAAGGGAACCTCCCACGACCGGAATCCTGGGCATAGAGCTTGCCATGTCTTTTCCATGCTGCATTGGCAGCAACGCTGAGAGCGGGGAACATCCCATAGACATAGACACATCTTTGCATTCCGCACGCCAGGGCTGCGAACACTGACGTGGCTAGCTTAGATTGCCTAGAAGAGGCGGCTCCGAAAACACTCCTCCGAGCTTCACAGGCAGAATGCTGGAGACCTATGTCTTCATCCGGCAAACCCTCACAATTGCAGCCGAGCTGTTTTGGGGTTGTTTGGCAGTATATTGTTCCTTTCTTGTCGGTGTTTGGCCTTTGGATTTCATTTCAGGGGGGTTCAGGTTTTAGGGGTTTCGGCGCTCACAGAGGGTTTCGGCGTGTTGGGGTCTGGAAGTTCAGGGCGTAGGGGTTTGAAAGTCGGCTTGGGGGGTCGGTCCTCCATCAGCGGCTCCACATAGCTCAGGATAGCAATTATAAACCTGCATGTCTGCGTCGGAATATACGGGCGTGGGCATACAGATGCAAAAGGCCCAACATCCTGCCCTAAACCCTCAACCCTACGCTTCCTAAACCCTAATATCCTGAAACCTACACAACTTTGCAATGGCGGCTGGGAACTTGTAGCAGACTATTGGGGCCTCATGGGAGTCGAAGTTAAAGAGCAAGCTGCAGCTGAGGCATTCTTACCGGGTTTCTACCTGTGGACACCTTGCTTCAAAGCAGCAGTATGGCCATCGCCACCTTGACCCCGATGTATTCGGCGTTGCGCTGCCGCACTGCCTGCATGTTGTTGCCGCGCCTCGGTCAGTGTGTGGAGGCCAGTACGGCTACGAGTGTACAGGCCTCCATAACTGGCATGAACCGACATAGCTTGGGATTAGGGGCTCAGCTTTACAGTTTCGGGGTCGATAGGGTTTAGGGAATGTAGGACCATCACACTCTGCATAAAAGAAGGTATCCGCTTTCTTTGTTCTCTGGAATCGGTGAGTCGTAAGAGGCTGCCGTGCGCAGGCACCAGCAGTTCATGCACTTTCGACCGACTCCCAGCGTGCTGCCCTGCATGGCGGCTCGCAGATGCTGCCACAAACTCGCTACTATCGCTACCGGTAACTCAGCAAAGGAAGTCTACCCACATGCCCCAACACAGCGACGCGACGCGCGCACAACAACAGGGACTGCAGCTCTTGCAGCGACTGCCATACAATCTTCCACCTCTGGTGCGCAACGAAGCATCCTACTGTAGGGCTCGGAATGCTTAGCAATGGCATACCCTTGTAGCCCCTCGACGGATATAGCTATAATCAAAACACAGAAGCCCGATCCTCACCAATAAGGCGCCTGTATATTACGAACCACTACGATATCCCGAGCCCTTGCGATCTGCCCAGTAGTGGCGAAGGCACTTCAGCTGGCGGATCACGGCGTTTTTCAGCCACTGCACCAATGGAGGCTCGCTCCTCGGGTTACTAGGGCCTTAAGTCGTTCAGGTTTAGGTAAGGCGGTTTAAGACTTAAAGGGTTTAAGTTGGCGAAACAAGTTCCCAGGAGTAAAAAAATAAAGTGTCTGCCTATCCCACACCAGCTGTCTTGTGATTACGCGGGCGCTATGTTCTCATGCTGACCGGAAACTGAGAGCACTCTTATCGTAATTAGAGATCTTTATCGTCATTCGTCATTCAAGCCTAGCCAAGAAGCTCTGCAGACATGAAACATATCCCACACCAGCTGTCTTGTGATTACGCGGGCGCTATGTTCTCATGCTGACCGGAAACTGAGAGCACTCTTATCGTAATTAGAGATCTTTATCGTCATTCGTCATTCAAGCCTAGCCAAGAAGCTCTGCAGACATGAAACATATCCCACACCAGCTGTCTTGTGATTACGCGGGCGCTATGTTCTCATGCTGACCGGAAACTGAGAGCACTCTTATCGTAATTAGAGATCTTTATCGTCATTCGTCATTCAAGCCTAGCCAAGAAGCTCTGCAGACATGAAACATATCCCACACCAGCTGTCTTGTGATTACGCGGGCGCTATGTTCTCATGCTGACCGGAAGCTGAGAGCACTCTTATCGTAATTAGAGATCTTTGCCGTCATTCGTCATTCAAGCCTAGCCAAGAAGCTCTGTAGACATGAAACATGAATTGCTGAAGCTACATAAAGTGAAAAACGATTTCGGTACGTGGGGATTCAGGACAGATGTATTTGATGGACCTGCGGGGTCTCGCAACTGTAGGCATGCTTTGCAACTGAGCCTGGCTATGTCGAAGCTCAGCCAATGAATTGTCCCGCCTAAACCCTAACCCTAACCCCCCCCAAACTAAGAAGATCCAAGGCACATGATCGCATCCCGGAAGTCCGCATAATCAACTTGGTCTTGATATGGCTTGTTGTCGGGAGCACCTGGGTCGGGCGACTCCCGCAGCGGAACCAATAGGACCCAGTTCTCGCTACCCCGAGCTCATGACTCCGGGTTACTATACTTGAAGGGTTGTATATGGTGTTTGGTTATTAAACGGAGGCCGAACAACTGGTCCGATTGTTGGTGCTCGTGCGGGTCCGAATGTAGCTCTTCAAACTGCTTCTCGTTTGCAAGTACGAAGAACATCGCATGTACAATGATGCGTGCGAAATCCCCTGTAAGCCAGTGCTTTCCTCGTTCGTACCTGGCTGCATCGCGAATATCAACTTCCTACATATCACGATCACCATGAGCAGCAGCACCACACCACCTGTTTCAACATCATCGTGGACATCGCCGGCATCCTCATCTTTCAGCATCAAGCTCTGTGGGATCACCATGAGCAGCACCAGCATCGGCTTCATGATGGATATGCTGTGGTTCTAACAAGAGGAGCTGTGGCTCAGGCTTACCAACAGCCAAAGCAAAAGCACTAGTACCAACTTGTCGCAAGAACTATGCACTTGTACTCGCGATCGAAGTCGCAACAGTACGGGAAAGACATCCCAGGCGATGACAACGATGATGAAGACGCTGATGATGATGACATTTGACAATGGTGATGATGACCATGAAGAAGGAGAGTGTGATTGCTGATTGTGTTATTGAATCTGACGGTGAGTGTGTCGGCTGTCTGAACACAGGAAGAGATGTGCATTGCTTGAAGTGGCTTAAGCAATTGCTCAAGTAACGTGCCATCGTCTGCGAGCCGATGACAGCACCATCCTGGTTGGTGTTGCGGAGGCACGGTTTGGGGTTCAAGAGTTCAAGAAGGTTTTGTTCTTTCGACATATAAGGCTTCCCAACTGTTAGGACGGGTACGCATTCGAAGCTTCAGGTCAAAGCTTTAGGGATGTTGAGGTCCAGGCTTCCTCCGAGTTCCGCATATGTGGCAGCGTAACAAGGCATGGCCAGGGTGTCTCTTCTATTCTACATATACTGTTGCCTCCTCGATCGTTCTGATCTGCTCTGTTCTTGCTATGCTGTGCTTGCTGGATGTGTATACCTACATTCAAGTATAACTTCGTTGAAAAAATCTCCACCGCCACCACTACTGCTGCTGCTGCTGCCGCAGGTGCTTCTGCTACTGCTACTGCTGCTACTCCTCCTACTTCTGCTGCTTGCTACTGCTGCTGCTGCTGCCGGTGCTGCTGCACAGACAGTTCGGCTATTCCGACAGTACCACTGTTCCGCTAGCGAGCTAGACGGCCAGCTAAATAGTCTTGTTGTGCTTTCTCTGTGGGTGCTGCTGTTGCCAAGAACTGCTCCTGATCCTATTGTTGTGTATGCTAATTACTCTGTCTGTAGCAGCTATTTCACAGTTACCGCAACTTCCACTTCTTCCACTTGCATCTGGCTTTGTTCTTTGCGCCTGAAGCCGACTTGCGCGACGGCTCGAGATCACTGCTTTGTGAAATCCCCCACATGCCAGAAACAACTCACAGGGCATTGCGATGATGCCCGCCTTCTTTGCCAAGCTCCTTGGCGATGGTGGCCGTGAGCCTAAAGAGCCCGCTAGGTCGGCAGGTGTCCTGCAGGCGGTAGAGGCTCGTTGCAGCGGGTTATGGTGGATGGTTTGTCCAAGCATAGACTTCTATAGGCGGCTTGCAGCTGCAATTTCTGAACATGTCGATGAACACGCCTTCCCAGGCCCACATACTACGCAAAACCCCTCTACACAGCTTACTAATTTAAAAGGAAAGGATGAGACTAACGCTCCAGACACACTCATAGCGCGGAATAATCTTGAGAAACGTTGCCAATGTAGGGGCTGAATTCAACAAACGATTCGGACGGTATATCTTCTGATATCAGGCCCCTACCCCTTGGCTTCCACCACTTTACATGGAACTGCTCACCAATCTGAACCATAGTCAACCCCTCGACCCGAAAGATTGTCAAATCCTACATGCTGCCCAGAGAGCCCAATGTCCCTTATAATCAAGGAATATTCCGAATATTCCTCAATTAGAGGGTTTTGGAATCTCCGGGTGATACCAAGACCCGAATTACCAAACTCCTTCGTGCTCATATTCAAAAATTCTGGGGGTCCCAGACCTGAAGCTTGCAAAACTTCTTCTTGCGAAATTCTCTTTTTGCAACTGGCTTGCAAGCGAAATTCCCTAAACCCTCAACCGTAAACCCGAGGTTATCATATATACATGTGTGTGTAAATATAAATGAAAAAATAAATAATACACATATATATATATATACCCTAAACTCCTAAACCTGAATTTATCGTGGCAGGGCGCTGCGAATCCAAGCCGGTGGCGTTACTCACGGAGCTCTGCGGATCGTCCTTCCGAGCCTTCCGACGAACTTGAGAAATCATGGCTCTTGGTTTTGTGGGCTCTAGCGCCCTATAAGCTATAGGGCTTTTTAGGTTGCTGGGTTAAAGACTTACGCGCTGACGGTTTTGTGCGTTTGTGCATGGGAATGTCGGGACTGGGGCTTCGGGGTTTCGGAGCTTTGGCTTTAAAAGTTTAGGCGGGTCAGTAGTGAGGAGTTTCAGGCTTTGGGGTTCTGGGACCCAAGGTCGTGGAACAAAGGTGAACACAATGTCGGCCAGTGACAGAGATCTAGAATAGAGGTATGTAATTTGTACAGGTGTCTTTTCAAGTGCCGTGGCTGTCCTATCTGCCCACACACTGTGCCGATAATGATTTTCAAACAGAGTACACCATCACCTTTCTGTATAGTAACCCTGTAGTGGTAAGCTTTGCAGTCGCCGATATCGTAATCTGGCAATTTAAAAGAAAGCTTCTGGTATGGTCGGTGGTCTTTGGAGAGTTGAATGCGGTCGGAGGGATCAAAGCATGCTTTTTGTAGGCTTCGGAGTTTGCTGCACAGCCTTTTGGAGTTTGCCTTAGTCCTAGAGTAGTACAGTTCTCACGCTCGGTAGGGAAATCAGGGTTCTGGAAGACACAGAAGCTCCCTATCTCAACAAGGACATGCCCTCAAACCCCTTCAAGGCCGAGATGAAACCACCGCCGCTTGCTTCGGACCTGCGACTGAAGTCCTAGCTTTGGCTGCTGGGCTCAGTTCTTACACCCGATAAACGCTACATAAGCCGAGCGTTCTCCCTTCCTCCCGGGGACGGAAGTCGGAGGAATTAAATGTGCAAGGAATTTGCCCACCTTCGTTGAGAAAGTGGTAGTGGCAGCAAGCATGCGCAGCTTGGAACCCCACTCGCTCTTCTTCCTGGACCGCCGTGGATGGGAAAATCAGTGCAACTGTCAGTAAGCCCAGGTTGCCAGAAAATTCAGACAGAATGCCCTGTTCGTGAAACAACACTTTCGCTGTTCACGATCCGACAAAGTGCATGTGTGGGGTGCAGGACATCCAACTCTTCGCTGACAGGCTTTTCTCTAACTGCTGGGCTGGTCTGTTGCGGGTTGTTCGAGGCTTCGCAGTAAGATGTAGAATCAGTTTCAGGCATGACCAGCTCTTGGCAATGCTGACATCTAACCTCATCGAACCCCCGCTCTTCTAACAAACGACCATAAACCTGCTGCAGGACAACACAAACCTCCACGAAGTTTCACAAAACACGTCTTGCAGCAAGCGTACTTCTCGAGGTGAGCCATCTGGAACAGTTTGTCTTTGCACGTGTCCAGCGCAGACTTTGCCACCCAACCTCGCAGAGATCCGGTAAGAACAATACAATAACATGCAAAACCACATCAATAATCGCTTGAGGAGAAAAAGAAGTATACTACATCTATATCTGTATATATATATATATATATATATATATATATATATGTGTGGAACATGTGTGTGTGTTGTGTACATGCGTATGTATAATTACACATTTCGAAATATGTCTGCTGATAACACTATGAATGTTACTATTCCAACGCATAGGATTCCAAGGCATAGACTGAGACAGCAGTGCTATCTGACCAATCCGCCTTCCACCTTCATCTGCATCTGCTTGCTAAATGATCGCTCACAGGCTCTTGTGGAAGGTGCGGTTCTACAGTAAGAGGGCCTTGGAAGTAGCTTGTCGCGTAGTCAGGGGAGCTAAAGTAGATTTATTGTTAGCAACTGAGATCAGGACTGTCCATGTCCTCATCAAGGAAGCAGAACACTCGATAGAGCTTCTTTTCCAGAACTCGCCTGCAGTATCAGCCCACAGTTCAGGGTTTCGTTGGGTTTGGGGTACCAGGGTTAACGGCCATTCTCGGGAGAGATCGAGAAGAGGCCTTATAGCTGAGAGCCATAATTAACAGGGGATCTCCAATCACTATGCAAGATCCGGTACATGCGATTCTTATTTCACAGGATCCCATGTGTGATTCAGCTCCGCGAAACAACGAGAAGCAAGACCCATTGTGGGATAGCACGCCGGACATGAAAACTTGGGGTTCAGTGGTTCCAGGTTTGAGGCACTGCAAACCAAACCCACCGTTGGTGCCGCAACAGGGAGACTTGGGGAGGGAGACAAAGAGACCCAAGAAGCCGACGCTGCTTCTGATCGTGGCCCGCTACAGCTGCAGCGAAGAGCCCTTAAAGCTCTTTAGGAGCACTTGGCGCAAGGTGTAGGGTTCACCTCAACCCTGAATAACCTACCTCTTTAGGTTTCCTGATTATGATTTCCTTATGTAAGCCCTTCAAAAGGAAGGTTATTCCGGGTTAAGGCAGGGTTTCGGGCCCACTTCGGAGGATTCTGGGTCGACTCGGTCATGAGCTCGCACTCTTCATTTGCCAGCCAAGGTGCGCAGCATCATCCTCTTCCACCTTCGACTCATGACACTCCCCAAAGCCCCAGGGCTCCGAGACTGTAAACTCGACTGAGGTGCCGGCCAGCGCCTACGGAAGTCGCAGCCCCGTTTGAAGGAGTTCGCAGGAAAAGCTGCAATGACAACAGACTGAAGCTCAAGCTGAAGATCCCTCGAGAGATTGTTCAAACTCTCACCCCTAAACCCTAAACGCTAGACACCATGATCACATGTACTACCCACTTTGAGCGAGCTGAAGCTTCAGGGCAAAAGCCAGGCCCGACGATACTATACGTACTATATACTATAAATTTAATACTACAGATCCTCAAGGAATAGTATTCAGAGTACTGAGGCCTGTATAGTATTTATGGTCTTGGTCGTCAAGGGTATTCAATCAGTCACCCGGCGTAGGCTCCAACCGGGGCTCCGGAAGCCTGTGTTCAACCGTCGAAACCCTGCCCCAGATGGGAGTTGCCGAAGATTAGGTCTACCATATTTAGGAGTCCTTATCATAAGGATCCTACTATTTCGGGTGCTATATGAGGGTCCCTTTTTTCGGAACTCCGCAGATAACTTCCGAACTCGGGAGCCCTAGCCAACCTTGTGACCCCAAAAGCGCGAGAGCTCCTGGATCTTGGGCATGAAAGCCTGACCGGATGATGATAATTTGGGGCCTTCAAAAAAGGGGTCTACAAAAAGAGTCCTGACAGGTGTCTCTGGAGGTTCTTGGGCTTAGGTGACTTTGGAATGGGGGTAGAGCAAGGAGCTGGGTCAAGCTGGCGGGGCCGAGCTGACTCACGCAGTGTCTGTGGCTGTGAATGCTCTTAACATGCCTGGGGCTACAGAAAGGGATCTATAGGGGTAGTATAATTTAGAGGCCTTAAGAATAAAAGCAGGGTGTTGGGGCCCACTATACTATAACTATACATAATGGGGAACCCCTAAAACAGTACTGGTATTTATTTAAGCTCTTATATCACCGTCAATAGCTTCAGGCGACAGGGCTCCTCCTGCCGTAGCTTCTCAGACTGCGCTTTTTTCCAAAGGCCGCAGTATCAGCGCTCAAGGTGTTAAGGGTTTGGGGTTGCAAGGGTGTTTGCTGCGTAAGGTGCATTCTGATTGTCTTTCTTAGTCGATGTCTTGGTCCTGGCTTCCCCAGTTTCGCTTTCATAAAGTAACTTTTACAAACAGCACCCAGTTTGAGCTGCAGGGATCTAGGATGTAGGGGAGTATACAGAGAAGATGGGATTGGCATGTCAAGTGGAGCCAAGCGGCGGCAATCCTCGCGATGCGGCCGAAGCCTTGCGTAATTTTGCTTTTCCAACGCGAATCTCTCTTTTGTGGAAGGTATCTGATGTAGGTGCTAGGGGAACTCAGAGGGAAGAGCACCACTCACCAGTCTTTCCCGTTTTTTCGGTTCTATCGCCCAGGCGCCCGTCAGTCACGACTGTCTTGGATTAGCCATACGGATGGAATCACTGCCAGTACCTGAAACCAATGATGCCATACTTCTGCCTAAGACTATGTCCGAGGTCAACACTAAGATGAGGCTGACAGTGCGCAGGAAGCTAGCAAATACATACATAGAGAGAGAAAGGTCGAGAGAGCGCTCTCTTTTTCTCTGTTGACTAAAATGTGCCGAGATTCGGTTGAGCCGCGCAGCTCGCGCAGAGCGCCCGAAAAGGCGCAACATCCTGGTAAGCCTCGCAGGTTTAGGTTGGGGTTTCATGTTCTTACATCAAGTTTAGGGATTTTCGCGTTTGGGTTTTGGGGGACCCGGGCGCAAAAAGCGATCTAGACCGGCAGGGGCCTGCTAGAGCGGCCCGCAACGAATGCACTGCCATCCGTAGCCAGTTGCATGAGGATGGTATCCTCGGCTGGAAGCAGGAGGCAGGGCAGAGCTGAAACCGTAGCTTGGCACCAATGCGGTGACCCGGGGACTGCCCTTTCGATCGGAATAAATTCGTACGTAAGAGCATCCCTATATAGTTCATATAAAACCGCAGCAAAAAAAAAATATATATATATATATATATACACACACACACACCTCAAAGCAGAAACCTAACTCTCAAGACCCCTATACTCCTATACTACTTCAGACACAGGCGGCATTGCTTTTATGTCCTGGCTGCAAAGGCCAAAGAGATGCCAGATTGGGTCCATGCTGTTCCGGTCACTTTCGGCGCTCACACTCGGACGGACGGACCAGGCGGAGCACATGGTTCGAGGTCTGAAACTCTTAGGGTTTAAACCGACAGGGTGTAAAAGGGTCCAGAGGACCATGGCTTCAATCTGAAGTCGCATCCGGGTCGCTGGTATGAGGGAGATGAAAGCTACAAGATCCAACATGAAGAAAGCGCTGGTCATGTACCCCTTCTTCCCGATGCAATGCCTGGGGGGCACATGCGATTGGATGCAACCTGGCCTGTAATTAGGATGTAGGGTTAAAGGCTGCTGAAGGCTTTGGAGTTAAGCCACGCTTGTGGTTTAGGGCAAAAGCTTCGGAGGATTTAGCGGTGTGTTAGGGCTAGGTTCAGGGTCTATAGCTCTGTATGCTTACCTTGGACCTCGTGGTTCTACTGTTCCAACACCTGAACATTAACCAGGTTATCCAAGAGAGGAGCCGCGTCAGAGATTATAGGTAGAATCCTAGATGCCAACTCCTTTCCCCTTGTGAATGAACAACTTTCATGTGTTTGTACCGCTTCTGTCGAGGGCATCTGAAGACGGCAGGGCTCGGGACCAATGGCAGTGTTTTTTGTTGCCTGCTGCTTGTCTAAACCCATAGTTTTAGTGCCGACGGCTTAGAACTTTCAAATCCAGCATTGACCGCTACTCAGTCAGTTTCCAAGAGTTAGACTGGCCCTGCTCCGATGCAATTCCTGCAACAGGAATGGACCAAGGTTGACAGTAATTCACGCACCAAGTGAACACGGGAGCCTTCAGACATCCTTGACGAATGTGGATCCTGCTTCACGAAAGCCCCACTCCTTGACAAGGACCACGGAAAGGCTAAGGTTAAGGCCCTGAAAGAAAGGGAGCGCAATACACCAGGGCCACATGGGCACCCCCGAGCCGGCACCAAGGCACACTACAAGCTCGAACAGGAAGGCGATGGCAACCAGCGTTGTACAAATGGCCACGCCTATCCGTGACGACCTGAACTTCTGCAAATGAAAATACACAGCAGGGGGGGACCGAGGGGGTGAAGGGCTAATGGGCCTGGGATTGTGGTGCTTAGGAGTTACATGAACCATAATTATAGTTATATGTAGAAATATATATATATATATATTTCTACATATATCTCTTTTATATAATATGCATGTATAAAGCATACAATGTAACATGGACAAAATTACTTACTGTAAGTACATGTACTTTACATTGACATGGCATGCAAGACTGCAACTTCCGGAGGCTGGGACCCGTAGTGTGATGATAAGACGAGAGGCTTGTCCCCCGCCATCGCGTCGATGTCGATGGCGAACAAGGCATAAGCGGTGAAGAAAACGTATGTGCCCGTCCACGACCTGAGTGAACAGGGCTGCCAGCTGAGGGATGACAAAGAAATCGACGTACAAACTCTCAAGGCTAGATGGTACGCCCATGTCATGGTCACTGCATGAGACTAAGATGGGAAACCCCGACTTGTAAGAGAATACCTCTCACCTGTCATTTGTGGCTAGCACTGGCTATGCCTCTAGAAGTGCTCAAGGGCAAGCACCAGATCAACCGCCTGTTACCTATCATACCCATCTTACGTACATACACCCATGCAACAGGCCACTGGCTTTCCAGGGAACTCGTCACCCTCAACTCCAAACTCTTTCGGCTTGTTCTTTCCATGTACTTAAATCCTGCGTCCCATGCCCTAAAGTCCTAGAATCCAAGCCGGTCCAAGCCCCTTCAAAAAACCTGCAGACTTCGTTCAACGATGCTGACAGATACCATGGCCGACGAGTGTCCGTTTGTTCGCCAAGTTCTCACAGAACTCTTGGATAGGCCCTTTATCCCACTCTTGCGACGACTCCTGAGCGTCATGAAGCTCTTGGGGATTTGGGAGGATTTATGGGTGTATGGGTCTAGGATTTGTGGATTTAGCTTAGGCCCGTATTGTGAGATTCCTCCTCAGGTTTCTGGGGGTGTTGATTCGTTGATTAGGCCTTGTCATTGTGCCATGAGCAGGCCCTAGCATGATCCTAAAGCTCCAAATTGACATTAATCGTAGGAACTTAGGTTCGTGGGAATAACAAGAGCCTCAAAGCTACAACTGTCCACTCGTAGGAATGTAGGTGCTTGGCAACAGTAAGTGTTGGCTACTGAAGGTCAGTTGGTATCTGGTGATCATGAGATGCCAAGACCCTGCGAGTGATGAGGCGCGGAAGATGCTGCTTGCCCTGGTCTATCTGCACTATGTATATTCCGGGGTTGGGGTCGATTACAATGTATTGCCTGAGCTGTGGAATTACATGGGGACTGTAAGGCTGGAAGCGGACACGCTTGCTGATTATGCAGACCAGACTTGTTTCGGTTGCACACGTGGCAGCCATTGCTTCACACTCACAGTCGCACCCGGATGTGTTGTGAAGCCCGCCACCATGCAAGTGACAACGAAGCTGCAACAGGCAATGCCTACAACAAGATAGTGCCGAACTGAATTAACCCCGAAACCTGGTGTCTGAACTCCAAACCCCTGCCCTCAGTGCAAAACTCTACCGCTCTGGCAAGGGTCGTGCTGCTTCTCTAAGCCTTCGGCCGTCCAGACTGTGGGCGTACCCTCCTGGGTGGAAGTGCGCCAACTCTCGCGTCGTTTAGTGGGGTTTAAGTGCTGACCGTGAAAAAACCCAAACTGAAAAAGGGTCTCGGCACCCTGCGCTCTGTAACCTAAAACAATAAAAGAAAGCCCTTTGACCCTCCAGATCAGACCTGGAATAAACATTCGCTTACCGTTGTTTAGCAGGGAATGGAGGAATGGGGTACAATTATAACTATATACTGTTACTACCATTCTTCCATTCCCTGCTAACCAAAGGTAAGTTCGGGGTTGCATGAAACATAAACCTGAAAACAGCTCACCATGAACCCGGCAAAACAGCATCTTCACGCCTCGGAGTTCAACGGTATTGATCCAATAGCCCAAGCAACATGAACATGAGCCTTGAACCCAACAACCCCGAGAGCTAGCCTCGACTCACCCGCGACCTTGACTTCAACCACTGTAGACTGTAAGCCTACTACAACTTGGACTATAGAAACCTGTTTCTACTCGCTCCGGACCACATCTAACTTCATAAAATTCTGGAAAACACCTGAGTCTAAACCCTAGGTACATGGGCAGCCCCAAACTTCCTGAAACCCTGAACCCGCACACCAAAACTCCCCAAGATCATAGGCCATAGGCCCGAAGCTACAAGAACGTGGCTGCTCGCCTCGGCCTCCGCGGCGGCAAGTGAACGCCAGGATTGAGAGCGAAGCAAACCTGCCCCAAAGGATGCTGCCGGGGGAATGTTCAGTAAATCTTTGTAATGATTATAACCGGTATATCCAAAAAAAGATTATACATCCAGAATCAATAAGCCGGACAATTCTAACCGGCAAGATCGGAGTAGTAGATAGGTAGAATCCTCTAGAATTGAATAAAAAAGAACAGAAGCGTGTGGAGTAGAAGCGCATTCCAAAAGCGTGGTCATCGTGATCGGAACAGGACCCGAAGCCCGATTTCACGAGAACCCGGTCCGAGAGCCCTCTAGAAACGAAGTGGGGGTTTCCGAAAATTAGGGGTACCGTATTTTGGAGTCCTTATAATAAGGATCTTACTACTTTAGGGTATTTTGGAGTCTTGATAATAAGGATCTTAGTACTTTAGGGTATTTTTTGTAGGGTCCCCTAGTTTTGGAAACTCGCAAGTGACCCGAAGACCGGCAGAGGATGCTGATACGATGTTGGCCCAGCCGGGAGTGACCCTAATCCAGGGGCATCAAGAAGTCGAGGCCCATTACATATTCTGTAGTTATAATAAGGAACCCCAACATGGTATTGGTTATTTATTTATTCAGGCCCCCATATTGGACTACTGGTCAGGACCATGCAACGAAGGAAGCACGCCGGCCGCAAGGAAGGCGACCACTGGAAGAAACAGACAAGCAATTGCATCTCGGTGCACCCTCAAAGATTTTCCCTCCAATCCTCGCAGTCCCAAGCCCAGGTTACATATTTCTTATAATATCAACTATCTGTTTAAGATTAAACCTTCCAATGTAGTGTTGGGGGGGCTTAATATTGGAATCGGGTGTTGGGACGTGCTTTACTGTAATTATGATAAGGAACCCAAATCAAAAACATAGAATTGGTTGCTATCTAGGGCCCTCTACCATTTTATGTATATCAGCGCTCATGCAAGCGAAGAAGCCTCTGCTGGTCTCAGACTCGTTCCAAATGGAGGTGCCTCACGGGATCGTTGGCTTGCAAGACAGCATCCAAGGTTTTACGCTCTCGCATCTCGGACAAGCGTAGCCGAGGTCTCGGTGCGTAGTGCTTTGACTGGTTGGTGGAAAGGTTTACGGTGTGTTTTTGGGTGTTTTTTCCCTCTCGCATGGCCGGGTACTATGCCCACTCACGAGGATACTAAGAGAGGATCCTGCAATGTTGAAAAATGTCGCGCAAGGGGTTTCGGCACTCACACTCGGACGATCCAGGGTTTAGGGGTTAGGGTCTAGGAGTCTAGGAGTCTAGGAGAACACATGCAGCCGGTGCTCCAGCTTGCGAAAGCCTTAATGCTTAGAGTAAGGTCTCTCTCTCTCTCTCTCTCTCTCTCTCTCTCTCTCTCTACCGTGCCATCATCAAGTGTCTCGCAATGCAAGGGTAAGGTACTGGGGCATATTGATTTCTAAAGCTGCAAGTACTGTATAAGGAACACTCGGGAGTAACATTCTTGATTGCGCGGCCTCCTATAGTAGCCCTGCGAGTTCAGCGTGCGCTTGTCTGTCTGGCTAAGTGCATCGCATCCTCGGACATCCTAACTTCGTACCGCATTCCAAGACCAGAGCGTGTGTTCCTGATCTAAAACCCCATGAAACCCCTAACCCCTAAACCCTTTGCCCTAAACCTCTCAACCTTAAACAAGCAAAAACTCCTAAACATCCCCATTCACCAAAGCTCCGTGGCTTTCTTGTTGCTTGGTGGGGTGCCTGCTCGAGCATCTTCCAGCCCAGGGCCCCCCCGGCGGAACTCGTATCCTATGGGCTCGTTGGTGTTGCTTTCAAGGAGGAGGGAGGCCTTTGTCGTTTAAGAGGGCTTCCTCGCTTGTCTTCGGGTGAACGGTTAAAGATGTTTTCCAGCATCGGGATCTTCTACGTATCTCCTTTGAGTGGGTTTAAGTCAACCGGAACTCTGGCTTTTTCCCAAAAGGGCTTGGGTTGCGTGCCGGGGAGCACTAACTACCTGACAAGTAAACAACCGACAAGCTTAGGGCTCCTTCCTATGATTTCCTTGCGGATCGTGCTCTACGAGTCATGGTAATCGTCCGACTTCCTGTGCTGTGGCTGGAGGTCCGCCCGGAATAAACGGGGCAGCAATGTTTATAACAGAAACTACAGACACCATTTAGAACCCTGCAATGCCGAAAACACACAGAAAAGACCATCGGCAACATACTTATACACACCGAAGCCAGTAAAACCCCGAACCCTGTGAGCTCAGGGCACATCGCGAGGGTGCTATGAGCTTTCAGGCCACGGTTCTCAAGACATTGTCCAGGTAGCTGATGCTGGGCGGCTCCTGTTCCTGAAACAGAGATGTTTCGGTGCTCAGCAGAGATGTTTAGGGCGGGGTTGAAGCCAGAAAATGGAACACAATTACAGGATGATGTGTGCTGATGTTCCATGTGCAAAGTCAGCTGAAATGTGGTGCGAATGCTGCTTCAGCCCGCTGCAGCCCACCACGGACGAACCTAATCTTCTTGCAGAAGGAAGGCTCCGTCCGGACCAGCAGTCTTCCATTAAAAACCATGCAAAAACAAGCCAATTCGCAACGAAGAAGAATCTTCACTATGATCTTGGGCCGAACCCTTAACTACAATAATCTGACTAGACCTCCTCACTGCATAGAACTGAACATGTCCACACCCTAGGTGCTGGAATTCCCTGGTCCAGAACTGTTGCAGCCTTTTGGATTATGCTGGGATGATAAACTCCAAAGCTTGCTAACTCTGGGAGCCTGAAAACTGGAAGGACCATAATACTATAAGGGATACTCTTACCGATTTATCCGACCCCTGTACTGGGTTCCTGCCCAGTAGTCCCTTCACAAACAGGGTGCACTTCTTCCTGCCATTCGGTGTTAACAAGGAGGCACCAAAGAAAAAAGGGGCAAAGGGTAGGGACCCTGAACGTTAACCTTTGGGATCATTTACGGGTTATAGTACCCCAAAAAGGTTAAAGGATACCGAGTCTGCTGCTACGGATATTGCTATGACCGCTGGCGGTCATAGGCTGTTGCCGATGGTTGCTTTGCTCCTGCTTCCTCTAGCCCGAAGTGATGGCGGAATTAAAACTATGTTTTCCTCCCTTTCGATGTTAGACTTGCTTGCGGGGGTTAGGGCTCGGGGTTTAGGGGTACTCGTGAAGCGCAAAGGCCTTATGCAGGATACTTGAACATCGCTGAACCCCTGCGAGCTTTCAGTACCACTCTCAGAGGAGAATTCCCAATTCTAAGTCTCAGGGTTAACATCTTTTCCCCAAAATCCTCCCAACCCTGAACCCTTTTGGCAAGCCCAAAGCTTCACCAGCCTCCTCATGGTCGCTGAGCTGCGTCGCTATGCTAACCGCTCTGCTGATCTGCAGCTCTTCCGACCTCCTGGGCCACAGTTTGCAGTGATGGGTTTAGGGTTTAAGGGTTTTTTTTGACACTCACACTCGGACAAAGCCTGGCAAAGGTCTATAGCGATCCTGGTTTAGGGGTTTAGGGTTTGTGTTTCTGCCATTAAAAATCCTGATTAGGCTTTGAAAAATGTAGGGCGGCGTGCGTCTGTGTTAGCTGATTAGTTTCCACCTTGGCTGGCCGCACCCAATTCAAGCCGAAGGCCACGTTTCGGGTTGCAAAGCCCGGCTTAAACTCCCCAACCCTAAACCTGAACCCGGAATCCTTAAACCCTAACACCGAATGCCACGAAACGCAGATTTCCTCAGGCTCCCTCCACGATGGGAGTTTCAACTAAAGACGTGACTCACGCAAAAATTCGAAATACTAGGAGATCCTTAGCATGAGGTCTCCTAAATACTCCTTCCTACTGGTACTGCAGTATTGCCTCGGTGAGAGCTACAGCATGATATGTGCCAAAACCCTATCTGATTATCACGGCCCCATATCACCCTAAACCCTAAACCCTAATCAGGCCACAGGACTCCGACCGCCATTCCGCGGCACCACCGAGCTCCGAGTCGATCGGAAGCGTTTTCCTAAGGGCCGAAAGGGTCAAAATCACGAGTCATGCACTTCTGCAGAATTCGCAATGCAAAGGCATGAATGATCTGAAGAATTATCTTCAGGTGGGTATTATCCTATAGTATGTAGGGACCAAAAGCACCAGGGAGCAAGTGCTCCTTGCGGTCCTGGTGACCCGGTGACCCTGGGACCTCCCATCACACCCTGGGAGTCCGATCTGCGCCTGTCAGGCAGCCTGTTGTATCACCACCTGAAAAAGTACTATGCTGCTAGAAAAAGACCAAAGCACTTTACCTACGTTTGACTTGCTGATGTAACAAGATAGAAAGTCAGTATCTGTCGACTGCAAGTCTTTCATGCCTGTCCCTCTCCTTGAAATTTTGGCCTCTGGCTGTTGATGCTAGCCTCCAGCACGCACTACGTAGAGCGGAAGCTGAATATCCACTAGACCTAGCTCTCCAAATCTGAACTGGAAGCGATCTCAAGCCAGGCAACACCTTCACAGGTACAACGACACTTCGCTTCCGCTTGCCTGAAGGAAAACAGAACGATGCATCTCTGTCCGCGGGTTGAAGTGGTTTGGAGATTAGGGGTTTAGTGTGTGGGTTTATGAGGGTCTAAACAGGCAAGAACCCACAACCCAGTCGTGTTATGTTTGTTCCGTCGGTTCTTTTCCGCCCTGCTACTACGATTGGCTTTAGGCTTCAAAGGGTCCACGAGAAACGTTAATACGAGATTTCGATGATTTAGAGCCGGCCCTCCCTCCGTTGTGGCTAGGAAGGAGCTTATGGGAGCCTGAATAGAAACCGCAGTTGTTTTTTGTTGTTGAGGGGGCGGTGGTATGTTGATCAAATTCGAGGAAGAAGCTCCAAAGCGTCTTTTCCGTGATTACTAAGCAGCCATAGAATCAGATTAGTGATGCTCAGGCTTCTGTGTTGCAATCATATCGGACTCGGCCATGGCTTGTCAGGGGTGTGCGAATAACATGCTGCATATCTATATATGTTGAACTCTCTATGCATCCCTCTCTCTACCAATCTATCTATCTATCTATATACATATACATACTTACATACGTTATGATACATGATTACATTACGTATCACATTGCAATACATTACAGAAGAAGGTTTGTGTGTAATTAACCCCTCTCCCGATCTCGGGGCCATGAAATTGAAGAGTGCAAAGAACTGAACAAACAAGCAAACGAGGTAACTAGCTAGCTAGCTGGCTAAGCAGCAGAAAGACAAACTCCCTGCAACAAGCACCTGCACGTGCGATGCTCGAAGGATCTTGCGACGCAGTTGGTGACGGCGCCGGAGAGTTGCCAGGGGAGCTTCTCACCTAAGTCGGAGTTCTCGTTGGGCAGGTCCTTGGGGTCCAAAAAACAGAGACACAGGCACACACACACACACAAACACAGACACACGCTTTGCGAAACGCTATACCGCTGGAGCTGAAAATGAGCAGAGCTACCCTTTACGGCATTTAGGCCGCTGTAATTTATGCGTAAGTGCTTGGCCGCTAGTGTTCAAGACATGCTTGTGTCGTGAGTGTGCTTGTTTCCCATATGATGGGCTACATTATGGTACTCTCACATTATATACTTGTATACAGTGTTTATGGCTACGGCTGAAGGATTACACCAGTATTCGCTTCGCTTGAAGCCGAGTGTGCTGAAGGTCTTCGCGACTCGCGTGGGGATTCCAGGAACGTAATCTCCTGGAGAAGTCTTGGGGCTGAGGGGTCGTGGACGGGCGGTGGAGGCCAGGGGCTCAGGGGCTTGAGATTTCAAGGATTTTTTTGCCACCTTTTGCCACCCGCCCAGCTGAATTCAAGGATTAAGTGTTAGGGTCTAGCGGCGGATGGTCTGGAATCATGGGTAAGAGCTCGCTGGGACCTGGACCCCTATCAACGCCTAAGCCCAACACCTCCGGTTCATTCATATACTCATATGGGTGGTTGTCAAAAATATGGCCCCCTTTTTGGGTACCCTATATATGAGGTGCAGTGTTATATTAAGGACCCAAAAAGGGACCCTAATGTTGACAACCTCTCATATACAAAAACCGGAGACCAGCAGGAGGCTGATCCCGAACCATTCAGAGACGAGTTCTCCAACACTCGAAGTGACGCCGCGTCCAACCTGAAACGAATTCTACTTTGAAAATTCCGCAAACCCCTACAATACCCTATAAACCTGCGTTCCTACTACACGCGTTTGAAAGCCCTAAACCCGATATCCTGACATCTGAAACCTCAGTAAATTTCAAGTCCCCGCAAGCGGTCCCAAACTCGAAAGCCAACAAGAGGCCCAAAAGCAACAGGAGGCCCCCTAAACGCTGTCAAACCCACAGAAGCTCGTCCCTCCCAAAAAAGCGCCCTGAAACCGCTTCAAGCCCCAAACTGTATAGATTCCGTAGATGTTTCGTTCCTTGGGCCGGCTGTCTTTCGAGGCAGTGCGACTTGGTGGCTGCAAAGCCATTCCTTCCAGGGAGTCTTTCGCCACCGGCGAATTTCTCAATCATGGAAGCACTGAGAAGTATTATGGGATTCTGTATGGGATTCTGCAGATTCCCATAGGCCTAGAGCCATCGGCTTTTTCATCTGTGTACGCAAATACATACAAGCACGGGAGTATGCATGCATATTCACAGTAAACAGATGCATATTTTCACTAAGTTTCTGCGGATTGAAACTGCCGAGGCTGAGAAGTACTGTGGAGTTTGGGGCGGTTAGCAACTCGATGCCATGGCTTTCAGCAGCTGAGCAGTGAGGCTGCTGACCGACTGCAGGAGCATCTGGAGATCGCTGGTTGGAGTGGGGAACTACAAGAAGAGCTGGAACAACTGTGGATGTACACAATCCTCATAAGCACTCATAAGCTATATTTCAAGCTACGGTGCGCATCCCTGTACTGACTTGAAAGCCTGCAGCAACGTCAGGAAGACCTCCTGAAAAGATATTATCAGGAATCCGACATAATACTGTTGCAGATTATCCCTTTTAAAATCTAGATCTCTGTAATGTGCCGAAGGGGCAAGGAAAAGCCGACTCGCGTGCGTATTTCCCCCCCTTTAAACCCTAAACCAGTATTCAGGAACCATTAAAGCTTATACCATCCCAAAACCACAAATCCCTAAACCCTAAACCCCTAAACGCCTAAACCCTACCTAAAACCCCCCCCACACTCTGCTCTCTGCTTCGAGCCTGGTGCCCTCCCGGCCGGTATTCGGCCTAGGGGTGCGCCATTGGACAAAGGCGGCCTGCTCACTACGCCTTCAGGGTCCCCCTCGAAGTGCTCCTAAGGCTTCCTTGAAGGACTCCTAAAGGTTCCTATAAGGTACATATAATAAGGAATAATCCTTTAAGGTATATAATAAGGTATAAAATTCTGTAATAAGGTATAAGGGTTCTATGTTGTAAACCGTGTAGTTATACGGCTTTGGGCTGAAGTTTAGGGTGAAAATCGTGGGTTCCGGGGTGAAGGGTTACCCATGACTCAGCTTGCCCCGACTTAGTTCGGGACCTGGGGTGCAGGTTTTGCTATTTTCGAATAGGGTGTGTCGTCGCGCTTCAGGGAAAGGTGCTGGCAAGATGAGGGGTGGAGTTGAGGCTTAAACGAGGCTATTGCAGGCACAAACGCCGTGGAGGGCTACCTCAGCAGGCCGCGTCTACTAAGTAGAGCTGCGGCATCTGTCAGCAAAAGCAGCGGCGGGCAACGACAAAAGGTGGAAAGCAAATGTCCAGCGGCATGTGCTGCCCATGCCGATAAAACCCTCCATGGCTCTCAGTCCTTCGTTAGGCAGCTAAACACTCAACCCTAAACGGCCCAAAATCCTCCGGAGAAGAACTGTGGAGTGAGTTTGGCAATTGAACCACCTGCGATTCTTTCGCTGCTCCTCCGGGCCGCTTGCATCAGCGACAGACTGCGATACCCCCCATGTGGCAAACACCTCAAGGACGGCATCTTGCCCTCGCGCTTGCGCTGCCTGCGTGGGGGGTTTAGGGTTTAGGGGTTTAGGGTTTAGGGATATTTAGGGTTTAGGGATTTCGGGTTTAGGCTTTAGGGATTTAGGGTTTGGGGTCGAGGCTTTAAAGTGACACATGGTATACAGCCCGTAGTTGAACTCATCTAACTGCAGCTGCACTTCTTCAGAGCTTCGCTTGGCACTTTCTGCCCGAGGCCTACCCCGAGCTGCGACTGCATTCATGCAGAAAGCGCGCGACTACTCCGAATGCCGACAAATCTCCATGTAGCAACTTATAGTAATTCATTAGCATGCACTGCCTCAAGCCTTTTCCACTATCCTCCCTCAGATGATAGCGGGAGGAACATTCACCTCAAGCCCTTATGTAACGTGAAGATGTCGCAGCAGATCGTGTGGCAGTATTCCCAACAATGCGTATCGCTTGCACGTAGGCTGGGCCCGGCTGAAACGTTCGTCCTTGGAAGCACCGAATAAGAGAAGCGCATGTGAACCTCCATGCCCGAAACCTAGACCTTGAAGGCTACATCCGGGCTCCCTTTTTAAAACCTAGATTTCGCAAGCATCATGATAAGACCCGGCTAACAAAAGCGATGATAATCATTACAAGCATGGTTCCTGTCGTTGGTCTGATTTTGTCGTCACCCAAATACACGTAAGTACTAACATGGCTATGTGCCTACCATATACACACACATATATATATATATATATATACACGTATGTATGTGTATATATATACATATACATACATACATATATATATATATATATATGGTTATATATGTGTGTGTACACACATACATACATGCTTATGAAACATGCCAAAATTCTCATGTACATGTTAAGAGTTAGGCTAGAAGATTCAACGAATACTTCGTGGAAGGCTGCTCCCGGCCTGCAGCGCCGTCTGGCCATTGCGAGCTGTGCGGCGGAGATCTGCCGCCGCCTCTGAACTGAAGTTGGTGGTTTTTGTGTGTTAGGGCTTGGGTTTCGGCGCTCACACTCGGACAATCCAAGCGAGGCATGTGATTCGAGGTCTGTTGAGTGAAACGAATCTACTAGTGGGAATGCCAGGGCTTGGGTTTCGGGTTTGGGGCTTCATCGAGTTCAAGGTCTGCTACAACCCTCCCATTCCCACATCGACTCCCCACATGTCATACCCCTAGGTTTCAAGAGCTCCAGCATGTAGGCCTTTCTTCCGGCTTGGAGGTGCTAGTCTAAACCGCATATGATCGCGGAGCGTGCCCGAAACCTGCGAGCCGGCTCTGACTCCAGCCTGAGATTCTCAAGACCAAGCCCCCTATGAGGGATACTTACACAGACCATGTAGTAGTACAGCTCCGAATACTTGTCGCGGCCCTTGTTCGTAAAATATGTATGTATGTATGTATGTATGTATGTATGTATGTATATATATATATATATATTTATTTATTTATATATTGATATATTTTATATATTTTTGTATATACATATATATATATATAGAGAGAGAGAGAGAGAGAGAGGTACTACTAATCCTTCTGCGACTGAGCTGTTGGAGTCAAATGGCCCTGCCGGGTTCCCTGGCCTACCCGAAAGTACTTGTTTTAGCGTCCTATAGTTCTCCATTCTGCAAAAAGTGACAGCATTGTCTATATGGCTATATGGCTCTTCCAGAGACTCTGGAACTGTCAAGACTGATGCTTGCAGCTGTTGTTGCCACAGGTTGGGGTTACAGGCCCGTGGGAATCCAGAAGTTCATCAAAAACCAAAGAAGCCCAACTCTCAACCCTAAACCCTAATCATAAAACGTTTCTTGCTACTGGACTCAGGTCTAGCCAAACTACGACCCCAAAACCCCAACACCTAATACAGGGGCCTAAACCATTACCTACACAATTTTTGGGGTTCCTTAGTATAATATATCCCCCAAAGCCCTTTTCTAAGTATTAAGGCCCCAATATTATAACCCTTGAAGATCCCTTATAGTAGCCCTTCAAAGGAACACTATTCTGAATTTTTAAGGCCCCTATATTGAGCCCCCCCAAAAAAAACAGGAGGAGCCTCCAGGAGAAGCCGCGCCACCTCGGGAAAGCCCCGAGCTGCCGCTGAGATGAGAGGAATCCGATCACAGCTCCTAAGGAGAAGGCGTGATTTAGGGTTTAGGGATTTTGGATTTTTGGTCTTGGGATTTAGGGATTCTTGGTCTTGGGAATATTCGACGCTCACACTCGCACTAGGCAGGCAAGGCTCCACATAGTCTTGGGATGTAGGGTTTTAGGGCTTAGGGATTTTGGATTTTTGGTCTTGGGGTTTAGGGGAAGGGGATTTCAGCACTCACAACAGGGACAAGCCTGGCGAGGTTACGAGTCTAGCGGGTTCGGGTTTAGGGCTTGGGGATTATAAAGCTTCGGATTTAAAGGTTATAGGGATTGTAGGTCTTGGGGTTTAAGGTTTCAGCACTCACTCTCGGGCGAGCCAGGCGATTTGAGGTTTAGGGTTTAGGGATTCGACTCGCTCGAAGCAGGCACGGATTCAGGCGAAAGGTTTTGGCAAACACTTGCAAGTGGACATGTCCGCGAAGGGTTTAGTGTGATAAGGTCTGTTTGAGGTCTAGAGGTTAAAAGTCTCCTAGGGTGTACGATAATTATGATTGCGAAATGCTCTTGGGGTTTAGCGTCTCTTGGGGTTTGGATAAGATCATTTGGGGATAAGGCCTCTTTGCTGTTTAGGATCAGCTCTCTTGGGTTGTGCGCGGTTCGGAGTCTACATGCAGGGTGCAGGGCGCATCCGTTTAGTATGGGCGAGGGTCATCCACAATACCATCATGAGTCCCACGTGTGCTTTGCATCGGGACTACGTAATCGACTGTGGACAAAACCACGTTGATCACATACTTAAGACTTGTACCTAGGCCGATGCTGACAATCTGGGTGACTGTGTCACACTTGCTACTCTCAATCTGCTCCCAACCGGACATAGAAAAGTCGTGAGCTCCATATGGAAGCACAAAAAGGCCGGTGCCTGGCGGAGCCTTACTTTCAGCACCGGCACACTCAAAGAAAGCACGCAACCCGAAGACCGAACCCCGTGTCTTCGACTACCTTCAAAGCCGGGAAGTAGAAGACATCGAGGCTTTGGATATCTGAGCTGAAGTAACACAAGATAACCAGGTGCACCCACCCTAGGAAGGGCTGCCAGGACTCCGGGATGCATTGACATCAGCTTCTGCGTGCAGGAGCAAGCGTACCACCTCCAGTTGGCCTGCCGCGGCTGCAGCATGAAGTGGTATGTCAGACCAGCCATAGTACATATCGTCCACGTTTGCCCTCCCCTCGATAAGCAGCTGCAGGGCATCCAGGTGGTTTGCGGCAATGGCAGCCGTGAGGGGTGTCCGACCCGAGATGTCTGCTTCGTTCAAGCAGGCCCTCGCATCTATCAAGGTGCGCAGGATGGCGAGGTTGCCGGAAGATGCGGCTGCGAGCACGGAGTTGTTGCCCCAGCAATTCCCTTCGTCCACGTTCGCTCGTGCTTGGAGGAGGAGCTTCACCACCTGGCGGGCACTTAAAGCTTTCGCAGGGCATGCCCTTGCATGAAACTCGAAGAGTCCCTCCCCAAAAACCCTATAGAACCCTTGCAATATCCTAAACCCTAAACCCCCCCCCTTCAAAAAAAGGCAAAAGCTTGTGCATGAACTCCGATACCTCGCCATGACCGGAAGAGGCCGCTTCAAGCAAAGGGCTTCGCCCCTCCGAGTCGCCAAGATCCTGGGGAAGTTTCCGGGTCCCGCGGCTTAGGCGTTTTTGAGGATTTTTTAAGGCTGTGGGGCTTATAGGGATTGTTTTCAAGTGTTTGGGTGTTGGAGTTTAGGGTGATATAGGTAGGGTTGAAGGCTTACCCAAAGGAATATACCTTCAAACCATGTCAATCTGGGGCTTATTGCAATCATAGGCTTCTTCAAGGGGGCTCCGAGGGTCTAAGGAATTCCGGGTTTAGGCGTCCTGGTAATGTAGGGGTTATAGGTTCTACGGTATAAACGGGGCTTGGCAGGCTTGGGGTTCGAGGCTTGAGAGTCTTCGGGGCTTTCTGGTTCAGCTCCGTTTCGGGTCTATACTGGCAAGAGCCCACCGAGCCCGGCACACTGAACTCCTAAGCCTTTCAACACCGCACCCATCTAATGGGCGGCTTAAACAAAACCAGAGACACAATGCCTCCGAACCCTGTAAACTCCTGAAAACCCTGTATTAAAGCCACATCCCTGTAGTCCCTACACTCTCCCTAGGCAGAGTCTCCTCCTCCCAGCATAGAGCCCTCAGCTGAAGCTTAACCCAATCTGAAGCCCCGAACGCGCAGAGTTGAGGTTGTAACTCCGACACACCTAAGTGCTTAAACATCCCTCGGTGGTTTTCGCCCACAAGCGCCAGGTTTGCCCGTCCTTCTCCGCCCCTGCCTCAAGCAGCAGTTGTGCGGCAGTCAGACGACCGTGGCTGGCCGCCTCCAAAAGCGCCGTTCCTCTCGTGCCTTTGCAGTTTTTTGGGGCTTGGGCTCAGGGACAGATGGCATCGGGTTCTGTACATAAGAAGTGCAGGAAAACGTATAGCAGGTCTTCTGGAAGCCTGGGTACCGTTCAGGTTCGCGTTTGCGCGAGACTGGAGCAGTAGCTGCACAAGGTCGGCGTGGTCTCTGCGGATGGCAATCTGCAGCGCCGAAAATCCGCGCATGTCCAGAGCGTCTAAGGCTGCCTTGGCCTCACAGACAACTTGCGAGCAGAACGATCTCCGCAAATCGACTCACCAAGTCGAGCCCTGAACCCCCAAACACCTGATCCCAACAAAGGGCCACCGAAATGCCCCAGAGCCTCCCCAAACTTAACCTCAAGCGCTTCAGGCCCGATAAGCCCGACCCGAAACCCCGAGCCTGACAAAGCAGCTCCACCAGCTGAGGGTTCCCCAAGAAGCTGGCAGCAGTCAGAGCCGTGAAACCGGAAAAGTCAGAGTCCGAAAACTGGGAAAAGAAGCAGTTCGGGTCCTGCGCCTTGCCGAGGAGGTCCTGATGGCTAAAAGGAATTGGCCGGGGAGGGGGGGTGGGTCGAAGCGACGACTAATTCACAAACATAGAGCAGCCGTTTAGAAAGCAAGCGGTTGCCCTAGGTCTTGCACGTCAACATGTATGTAAACACATCAAGCATGTAGACATGGTTGGATATGTAAATAACTAGTTGTTGTATGTGTGTACGTATATATGTCTGCAGTCTGCACATGACATGTCCTTATGATTATAATCGCGTAAACGCTTTCTCGCCCTCACATACCCTGCATCACAAGAGGCGTGAAGGTCTCGAATTCACAATGAGCTTCGGACAGGTAGGTTCTATGGGGTTTACGGTTTCGGCGCTCACACTCGGGCAATCCAGGCGAGGCATGTGCTTCGAGGTCTGATGAGTAAAACTTCTACCATGCGAAGTTTCCGTAACAACAGCTTCTATACTCAACCTTGTCGATCTTGCGTTCCCCTCTCAAAATCCAACTGGGCTCATAGGCCCAAGCTCCACCGTGGATTCTGAGGACTACAATCAGGTTTACGGCTTAGGGCTTGTTACGCTCCACCTCGGCCACCGGCAAATCCTGAGAAGCCACGGCCGCGAGAAAGGCTGTATCCCAGTCGTGAACCAGTCCTGTGTGTTTTGCGCTGTGTGACCCTTGCAAGCATATTGAAAAAACTATGTCAAACCCAAGGTCTACGATCTCACCTACCTCCTGCTCCATCAACTGCACGGATCTTCTTCCCACGCAAGGCTTGGGGTGGCCGAAGTACCAAACCCACACCCTGCGCCAGCCTGGAAACTCCAAGAAGACTGCCGTCACATCCAGCGAGCCCGACAGGCTCCGCGTCATCTCGCGGCATTCGGAGGGATCAGTTACAACATCGTACACCCAAATGATAAGGCTCGAGACGTCTGTGATGCCAACGTATGCGGACGGTTGTGCTTGCAATAGCATTTGCATTTTGGTCGCACATGTTCGAAGCCACGACAAGTAGAGTCACTACTTAGACAGTTGACAGCACAAAGACGAAGCCTCTTCATTCAACTCCTCCTCGCCGAGCATGAGCCTGAAAATTGGGTTGGCTCAATCATAGGATGCCAAGATCACCAGTACAATGGCCAGCTCACCAACAGCAAGCGCAATCAGTACATCCCCTTAAACATGAACGGCATCCTTTTTTTCCGAGCTTTTTTCTTGATCAAGGAGACACGCAATCAGTTCTGTAAAAATGAATTAAGATATACTATTGGAGGACCCAGGCAGAATCGCAAGCGTGAAAACACTGACAGTAAATAGTAGCAACAGGCATTGTCATCATCATCATCACCAGTTAACGTCACCATCGTCATAGCTGCATCGTGGCCATCATGCCGTGCTAAGAAACGGGACAATCAAACCCCCAGCACCATCAGCAACAGCATCCTCCTGGTCATTTTGGCCACATACGATGGTCCTGCAGTGCTTTGCAACGAAAAAAACACCGAAGCAACACGTGGACAATTTTCGTGGTGCACTCCCTGCTGCTCAGCATGTCCAAGGCAGGTGCAACCCGTTGTAAGCCGCGAACTTTAGCTTGAAGTGCGGCCATCCCAGTTCTCGCCCCAGCTGCCTTTTTAAGTCCATCACGGACGGTGCAAAGCCTGAGAGCTCTTCAGTCCCGTCCAGGGCTCAGGGGCTTCCAGGATTTTTCCATCACTGGGGGATAGCGCTGACATTTTGACTGGGGAACAAAAACAGGTGAGCTTATGGAAGCTTGTTCCGAAGAACTCCGTGGGATCTCCATCACGATGCTGCCAGAGATGAGCATCACCTGCTTGGCAAGGTGGGTCGGCAGACTTACAGTACAGGAGGTGCCTTATTGTCATTGGGCGTCAAGCAACGATGAAAAACCCTCCAGGCCCCGAAACTTCGCCCGTTGCTGTTCCAGTTGCCTGGCATAGGACCGAATTTGTTTTGCTGCCGCTAGCTGGGTCGGTAGCATTACGGCTACCAACCCGGTCTCACCACGTCAGTTCGATTTCTGATCTTCGAACAAAACCCCAGGCCCGCTGCTCAGGAAACCAAATATATCACATATAAGCGTCGCTTCATGATGACCCTACACCGGTTTCAGAACATACACGAAAGCATTTTGTCTTGCCTGAAAGGGCATGGGTATACACACAGACATACCTTTTAGCACTCGCGCTCGAATGAATCAGGCATACATACGTACATACATACATGTTGGCACTCGCATCATGCATGCATGCATGCATACAGACATACACACACATACATACATATATACCTGCCTACCTACCTACTTACGTTTTTTGTAAGCAGGTGGAAAGACATGTGCTTGTGTATGCATGTAGGTATGTCGGTACATGTCTATGTTTACGGGACAGTATAAGTGAAGGTATAGGTATACGTATGTGTATACGCATATAGGTATATGCACATGAACATGAATATGTACTTGTATAGATGCACATACATACTTCTTCAGTACTACAACTTAGTTTACGTATTCTGCAATCACTTGCTCTCGTACGGGCAACTGCATCTGCTTGTGTCTTGACACACCTTGTATTCTGGAGCACTGCGACCGTACGAACACACACACACATATGTATGCATATACATGTTCGCAAAAATCTATATGTATGCAGGTATATATATATATATATGATCACAAAATTCCTTATTTACAAAGTACAGCGGCGCCTTCAGTGTAGGCTCCACATGGCAGGCGGCTGCATGAGAGGCTCGAAGCATCTTCATGTTGCATGGGTCTTTGCCATTGCGTCAGTCGCGGTGGGTGGAAGCTTGGAAGTCATCAAAGCAAGGGGTTTTCAGCAACTTACATAATGCCAAGGACACGTCGTGGCTAAGAACAAATTCCAATCACTGCTGTTGCCGAGACATGACACGTGCGGGCGCGTTGCTGTGCAGGAGTTATGTATCTTGGCATATTATCGTTGCGAGACAGCTCCACCACCTGATGTTGGCCGCACACACGCAGCAGCTCGCCAAGCATACCCTGACGCCGCCTACCAACAACACTGCAAGGTGTCAACTATGTCACTCAAGAGCATCGCATGGGTGCGACATGACATCATATATCGTGGAGCATCACAATACCACAAGAAGCTCTCAAGCGAAACCAGAACAAGCAGTAGCACATGTGTTCAGGTGGATAGCTCAAGGAGTTTAGGGTAGCAGGGTTTCCCTCTAAAACAGCTGTTCTAAACCATGTGGCACCACTCCTGGCCTCGCCCCCCGCGTGCTTAGGGCTTCGGGTGGGGTTAAGGTTGAAGTTTTGAAACAAGAATGCTCTGAATTTTCCGTCCGGGGTCGATCATGCAAAAAGGCCATTGGTGCCACCTCTTGGGGTGTTTCTTGGCACGCCCCACCCACGACTCACAGCACTCGCAACACATGAATGCACGGGCAGGTGCAAGCCGCTTGCCCAGCCAGGCACAGACATGAGACCTAACTGAAAGCTGCACGTCGCGCGGTGCACTAAACTCCGTGGAAACTCAGCAGAAGCCGAGCCATATCCGTTATAATGTAAGACAAGGCACACAATGGCACACACGCGAATGCAACACACGCACAAGACGGTAATGTCCAACCGACGCCGGCCTACGCACCTCTTGGGGTGCTGGGTTCTCCCGCAAATGCACGCAAAGCAACGACGGGCAAAACGCCACTGAAAAATCGACGCAGTTGTGGTTCAACTCGTCGCACTCCTCATCTTGCCAGTCCCCCGCCATGTCGGCGGTGGTTCTGACGACCATGACGCCCAGACCTGCATTGAAAACAAGTCGTGAAGCTTAGGAACTTTTCCGGCTTCCGCTCAAACCACAAACGCACGCAAAGCATCGACGGGAAAACGCCACTGAAAAATCGATGCAGCTGTGGTTCAAGTCGTCGTACTCCTCATCTTGCCAGTCCGCGGCCATGTCGGCGATGATTCTGGCGACCTCCCGCTCGGAGGATCGTCAGACCGAGGAAAACAGCAAAAATCGACGCAGTTGTGGTTCAACTCGTCGCACTCCTCATCTTTCCAGTCCGCGGATTCTGGCGACCTCCCGCTGGGAGAGGATCGCTCGGATTCCGCACTGCAGGAGATGCGTTGACTACGGGGTGCTAGAAAGCCTCATGTCAGACCGAGGACGATTAATAGTAGCAAGCCGCTTAGCGCAGCGGCCTGCCCACCCGGGCACGGCCATGACGCCCAGACCTGAATTGAAAACAAGTAGGGCATGAGGCTTTGGACCCCTTCCGGTTTCCGTTCAAACCCGCAAATGCACACAAAGCAACGACGGGCAAAGGCCACCGAAAAGTCGACGCATTTGCGGTTCAATGCGTCGTACTCGTCGCCCGGCCAGTCTGCTGCCATGTCGGCGAGGATTCTGACGACCTCCCTCTCGGAGAGGATCGTCAGACCGAGGAAGATAGTAGCAAGCCGCTTAGCACAGCGGCCGCCCACCAGGGCACGGCCATGACGCCCAGACCTGAATTGAAAACAAGTCGGGCATGAGGCTTTGGACCCCTTCCGGTTTCCGTTCAAACCCGCAAATGCACACAAAGCAACGACGGGCAAAGGCCACCGAAAAGTCGACGCATTTGCGGTTCAATGCGTCGTACTCGTCGCCCGGCCAGTCTGCTGCCATGTCGGTGAGGATTCTGACGACCTCCCTCTCGGAGAGGATCGTCAGACCGAGGAAGATAGTAGCAAGCCGCTTAGCACAGCGGCCGCCCACCAGGGCACGGCCATGACGCCCAGACCTGCATTGAAAACAAGTCGTGCATGAGGCTTTGGACCCCTTCCGGTTTCCGTTCAAACCCGCAAATGCACACAAAGCAACGACGGGCAAGGCCACCGAAAAGTCGACGCAGTTGCGGTTCAATGCGTCGTACTCGTCGCCCGGCCAGTCTGCTGCCATGTCGGCGAGGATTCTGACGACCTCCCTCTCGGAGAAGATCGTCAGACCCAGGAAACCCCTCTGGCCGGCAGTAGTTGATCCTAGGTACGACGGCTAAAGCGGCTAAAGGCTCAGGAAAAATCCGCTCAGTTCTTCTCCAACTCGTTGCACTCGTCGTCTGGCCGCTGCACCGCCATTTCTGCAATCATGCGGGCCACCGCCCGCTCAGAGAGGATGTCAGACCCAGGAACACAGATCGATTGACAAGATGGTCTGTGAACCCCTCTGGCCGGCAGCAATTGATGGTAGGTTTCAAGCTCAACAGGAACACGAACCCTTGGCATCGCATCAATCCCATCATCCTACCACTTCGGACGGACTGCAGCATAATGCTAGCAGCTCGTTTGCCAACAAAGCGAATCACTGCGCATCCACGGTCACGGCACCATCCTACCACTTCGGACGGACTGAAGCATCACGCTGGCAGCACTTCTACCAACAAAGCGAATCACTGCGCATCCACGGTGCAATGAAAGCAACACGGCACTTGCAACCATCCTGTGCGGCACACCCTGAGCGTGCAAGCAACGCATTTTCCAACTTCAAGAAAGTGGCCCCGAATTGATAATTGTAGGCTACGTCCCTCTGCCTCTCCCGCTCGCTCGCTCGCTCTCTCTCTCTCTCTCTCTCTCTCTCTCCCGAGCTGCTGAACGGGAGTAAAGCGAGTGACGAACGAACGTAATTCGCAGCCTTAAAGGGCTTCCAACTTCCCCGTGTTGTTGTGCAAGAGTTTGAGGCCTTTGAGAAATCAGGAATCTGCACGAGTGGTGGTGCTAAGGCCGAAAAAGTGTTGCAAGCGCTTCCCCTGCAGTACTGCAGGTTCCCCCGAAAGTTTAGGGGCAGCAAAAAACATATGCCGGTTGAAATGGCTGTGCCCTCAAAGTGGAATTAAAGAATTCAGAATTGGCTTGTCAGTCCCTGTGTGTCTCTCTCTCTCTCTCTCTTTCTTTCTCTCTCTTTCTCTCTCTCTCTCTCTCTCTCTCTCTCTCTCTCTCTCTCTCTCTCTCTCTCTCTCTCTCTCTCTCTCTCTCTCTCTCTCTCTCTCTGCTTTGTTCAGGGGCAAGGAGAGCTGGGTGTCGTGCGGCTGCAACGAAACAGCTTAGTGTGCAGGCCTGCCATTTCCGAGGGAATAATACTGAATGGCTTTATTCAGGGTTTTATACTATGGAAGTATACTATGGAAGCATTCCCCGCCGTCTAAGTACAGAAGATTCGCAGTCAAACTCAGGACTCTGTAGCGGCTGGATAACACGGTTACCACTTTGGTACGAGACGATGTTGAGGACGCCAACACAAGGGCAAAGTAGTACTCGAAGTCCTGGGACATGTTCTGGGTGACACACCCAAACCGTGTCAACTACCGTACCCTGAAGTGGAACCTGTCAATCCTAGACCCTATCCACCCTAACCACGCCAATCCCCAAAGACCCAAACGTTTGAGGCCCAAGCCCCAAGCCATATTTACCGAGAAGCTTCCGTGCAGCTTCTCAATAACTTATACGACAATCAACCCCCAAAACCTATTCTAATTTCCAAGGCCCCTATATTACAACTCTAATAAGCGCTCTGTAGAACTCTTCACAGAACCCATTGAAGTTGTAAAGACATTGTAAAGATTGTAAAGCAACGGTTCAAGCAATTCGGCGCTCTAATTGGTGACGCCTGCACCGCCATGCAGGCCGGCTCAGGCCAGGGCACCGGCATCTTCTGTCTTCGTCTAAGCTGCTTCGCCTGGACATCGCAAGCTTTCCTTACCATCTCTGGGTTCAAGGACCAGGGGGTAGGGTGCTAAGGGTTTGGAGAGTTTAGGGCTCGTTGGGTTTAGCCTTTT